GGAGATGCGCCAGTCGACCTCGCAAACAATCAATCTATCGGGTCCATCATTTGGTAAGCACTATACTTGCAGCTAAATTGTGCGCAGTGGTGATGTTGCCCGAGCCACTGCAGTCAAGAGCACGATTTATTGGCTTGTGGTGCCTGCGATATTGCATATTGGTCGAGACAGCGCACTGCACAATATAGGCACGGCGCGAAACCGACGTGGCTGTCTAAGATCCGCCAGCAACAAACTCGATCAAGTCGCTTGTGCGTGGCCATGGAAAAGGACGGCGACGTGGTCGTCGACACCCCGATCGATGCGACCGACAACAACCACAGTGACGAGCTCAACCTCGAGGTGACACCCGAGTTTGCACCGCGCTTGGAACTGCTGCATCAGCTGCAAGCGTCCGAAGAAGACGCTGCCAAAGGCGCCCAGCTCTGCGCAGCGTCCAAAGAAGGTGCCATCGACACCGTGCGCAAGCTCGTGCTCGAGAATGCACCCGTCGGGTTCGTGACGACGTCGGGCTGGACGCCGCTGGCGTTTGCGTGCTTCAACGGACGCCTCGAGGTCCACACCGCATCGTACCCCGGTGTATCTCAACGCGTGGTCTCTAGGTGGTGCAGTACTTTCTCGAGCTGGGGGCTGCCGACAATTACAAGCCGACGCCAAGTATAACGGGTGAAAAATGCAAGCCGGCGCAGGTCAACACGCCACTGCACTGGGCCATCTACAAGGGCCATCCGATGGTCGTGTATACGCTCGTGACGTGGGGCTTCTCGATAGAAGATGCTGACTCGTGCGGCAACCGCGCGTTGCATCTTGCTTGCTCGAATGGCACGTTCACCATCATCGAAGTGGACCATTCACTCGACGCTTTTGATGACTAACTAAATGCTTTCGCGATAGATCATCTTGTCGCATGCCCCCGACCTCGCGGCCAAGAACGTATATGGCAACACGCCCATGGACCTCACGACGGACGGCGCGGTCCGCAAGCTCCTCAAAAAGATGCAAACGCAAACCATGTGCGACGAGTGCCACGACGTGTTTTCGCGCAGCCGCCGCGCGACGCTGTGTCAGCAGTGCCACAACCTTGTCTGCAATGTCGGCTCGTGCTCGTCGAGGTACATTCTGTCTCGCCGATGGCGTCGACGACTACACGCTGGACTATAGCCTCGAGATTCCGTGGGGGACGGTCGACAAGAGCGTTCACAGCGTGCGCTACTGCCATGCGTGCGTCCAGGCGCTGGCGCAGGTTGAGGCCGACCTCGAGCAGGTGCTAACGACGAAGCGCTTGGCAGTCGCCGAAGCAATGGCACCGCTTGCTGCGCTCGAGGCATCGTTGGCCACCTTTACGCCTGCCCCCGTACGCGCGATCGCTTGGGATCTTTCATGGACGTCGTCGTAGAAACCAGGGACACCGACCGAGACGGAGGCGCTGGGGGGCGTCGAGCAGCCGCCGCCGACACCAATTTCAAAAGGCTCGCTCGTCAAGCAGCTGCTTGCGCTGCTCTTGAGTCTCGAAAGCAACAACGCCGATGTCGAAGCGCTCCAGACTGCGATCGTCGCCGCGTCGGAAAAGAAGGCAAATGCGTGGCTGCTCCAAGAGGCCCGCGCCACGTACGAACAGCACATTGCGCACATTCAGCTCATCCAAGAGATCAAAGCCGCCTTGGCGACCCGGTACAAGCTGTTCAACTATTTGGAAGGCTCAGTACGACACGTTGATGGATAGACCGATCAGCACGCGGTCGCTGGTCGCGGCGCTCCGCCGAGTGTGGCGCCAAGCGCAGGTCGAGGGCGTCGAAGGCGCGCTGGTGCAAGCTGCACAGCGTGTCATCGTGTTGGCCGAGTCGGAAGCGAGCTTGTACGGCGCGTACATGCTTTGCGCACGCATCCAGGTCGGGTCGGCGCAGTTCAGCAACGACTTTGTGCGCCTGAACCACTGCTTGACCATGGTCGAAGACTATGGCGTGAGCGACACCCTCATGCGAAACGCGTGGGGCTTGCGCGACCGGCTGAGCGCCGAGGTCGGCAGCTGTCTCTTTCCCGGACGAGGCCAACGTCGTTGGTTGTAGATGACGCTCGAAGCGGCCTTGTTTCCGTTTGAAGAGCGCATGGACGGGCTCACCAACCAATCGCAGTACGTCTTTCACGACGGCAAGATCGCAGCCAGTCTCTTGGAGGCCCTCACGCTCCGGAACCACACGCTCACGGTCGCCGTGGTATTGCTCTGTCGACAGCGAGACGTTGAAAGAGCCTTGTCCATGGCGTAGGAAGTCGCTGCCAAGGTCGAGGAGGCGACACCCGTCGCGTCGCACCTCGTGGAGAAGGCCAAGGAGTGTCTCGTCAAACTCAAAAAGGACATCAAAGAAGAGCAAAAGGTAAACTCGATCGAGAAACGCATGTGATGAAGCATGGGTGCGTAGAGAGAAGACGAACGTCGACGCATTGCCGAAGAAGAGGCGCTCAAGGCCGCCAAGAAGGGCAAGAAGGGCAAGAAGGGCGGCAAAAAATAAGAGATGCGTTCCACGGTGTACAGTCTCGGACCTTATCGTCGCTGCATTTACCTTTCATCGTGCTGCAGCGTCGATGCATTCAATGAAGTGGGTGTTGGAGGCTCCTTGATGACCGCCGAGCGTCTGGTACATTTTGTACTTGGATCCTGGCGACTTCGTATTGGAGCTTGTCGAATAAGAGCTTATAGTGCGCTGGCACACGCGTATGTAAGACTTTGACGGCAAGGGCATCCTTGCAGTCTCGGAATGCTCAGGATGCTGTCGCAAGCACAGGTATGTGGCCCGCAGGATCGGCGGCCAGAGACCTTCCTCTGCACTTGTGACACGAGCCGCAGGGATGCTGGTCGCGGAGGCCATCGAGGCGGCGATGAACGCAGAACGAAGACAACAAGAGAAAGGATTCGGGGTGTGGATTCAAAAGAAACAGCTTGCGTAATACCTTAGGACTCGATATATTCGATCGGAGCAAACTTAGACAATCGAACCGGCGTTGGCGGCGATACGCGGCCAGAGGTCGGCGCATTCCTTGCCGACGGGGCCGGTGATGGCCGAGCCCTTCATTTCACCCTTGGGGTTGACGATGCAGGCAGCGTTATCCTCGAAGTAGAGGAAGATGCCGTCGCGGCGGCGCCACGACTTGCGCTGGCGGATGACGACAGCGGGCATGACCTTCTTACGGAGCTCCGGCTTACCCTTCTTGACCGAGCACAAGCACATGTCACCGACACCGGCAGCGGGGAGACGGTTCAGGCGACCCTTGATACCGCACACGGCGATGATCAAGAGGGCCTTACCACCCGAGTTATCGGCGCAGTTCATGACGGCGCCAACGGGCAGACCGAGGGTCATACGGAACTTTTGACCCGACACACCAGCGCGACCTACACAGTCGCGTCAATATTCGCCGGTCCCTGCTGTGATGCGCCATGAGGGCCCGAGGCCGTCCTAGGCAAGTCGGCACGGCGCATCCAGCGCCGCTGCTTGCTTGCGACGTCCTCGTCGCCATGGTCGTCATCGTCGTCATCATCATGCAACATACCAGAGCTCATCTTTGTTTCTTGAGAGAATCACAACTAAAAACCTCGTCGCCATAGCGGGCAGGCGCAAACCATTGGCTGTCGCCTCCACTCCTTTTCCTCCACCAATGAATGGCACCCTCGCTACAAGAACACTCGCCAATTACAAGCACATTTGTCCGGATACCGCCGCATACCAACACTATTTCCGACACGCCGGCGGTCCGCAGTTGCTTGCTGACCTCACCGATCGCACGAGGACGAGGATGGCAGGACGCTCCATCCTGATACCGATGCAGTCGCGAGCCCATCAATAGCTATGCCAACTAGCTAAGCTGTAGGCCACGCGCCTTCTTGTGCACCAGTTGGCGATGCTTGCGTGCGTTACCAGGTACGATCAACGTCAAGGGACGGCCATGGCCCATTCCAGCAGGCTAGCTGGCCCTTAGCCTCGTATAGGACGAGGATTACGCAGTGTGGGAACTGAAGAGCGTCAAGTATGATGGTCTTGCTGCGGTGAGGTGGATGGGCTGGACGGTGCTGGCAGCTCGAGCTTCCGTCGCCAGCGTTGCTCTTCTTGCACTCTACGAGCCAATACGTGGTTGATCGAAGCGTCGCCTGAATGCTGGCAACGACTGCGATAGCATCCGTAGGCTAGCAGGATACATGTAGGTGGGCCGTCGACATGGCTCTTCATGCAATGTGTGCACTCGGGCAAGAACATGTCCTGTGCGTTGCCGGCTTGGTAGCCCTTGCTCTAGACTCACATGACGAGGACGGTGTACTAGACACCTCTGCGAGATGCTGCAATAGCGAGCGATGACTATGGTTGCTTGGTCGTTACCATCACGACGGCGTTCCGCTGCGGCGTCCGCTCCTTGCTCGTCAGCAGTCAATTGGTCGCTGTGGGTCGCCATTTGCGACCGCCGCACACTATTTTCCGTCGTCGAGCAATAGCGATGGATCCCCAGCGCAAGACGGCTATCCGACAGCTCGTCGTCGCGGCCGCCAAGGCCAAGTTCCAAGCGCGGCCCGACGCGGCCGCAGTGAGCATCGCGCCGTACAGTCCATCGCCGATGGCCATGGTGCACGGCGTCTGGGACCGCTTGGCGCCGATGATGTCGGGCCATGACCACGTGGTCGAGCTCGGATGTGGCGACGGCCGTTGGATCCTCGAGGGCGTCAAGCGCTTTGGCTGCAGCGCAATGGGCGTCGAGTGGGATCCGCAGGTGGCGCAGCGTGCAAAGGCGCAGGCAGCCACGGTTTCCGGCGCGATCGACATTCGGGTTGAAGACATGCTCGCGCCGTCTTTTCGTCTCCCGGCGCGCACGACGCTCGTCATTGTCTACGCGTTCACCGAGACGCTCAATATGAACGTCAAGGCGCTCCTCGCGCAGTGCGATCGCGGGACCAAGGTTCTCTCGGTGGGCGTACGTTGTCCTCGATGTGGTGCAACACATCACAAGTCGCGTAGTTTCGCGTGCACGGGTGGCAGCCGCAATGGACACTGCGCTTTACAGGACTCAACTGCTACTATTACGAACTCGCCGGCCACGACGCCGGTATCGGCGACTCTAAGCGGTGAATCAACTGCATGTTTTCACGCCGCAGCGCCGCCATCCTACACACCGCTCTTGCTCGCGTAGTAAGTCGACGCTTATACCGTTGGGAGAGAGAGCTTGCGTCCTTCTGCGCTTCGAGCTTGCGCTCTTCTTCGTCGGCGAGCCGGTCGTGCGTCTCGGCGAGCTCCCTACAGCGATCGCACCCATACAAACGGCCATATAGAAAGGACATGCAACACGTACCGCCGCAGCTTGGTCAGGCTGCGCTCCTTGGCTTCCAACACGCCTTCTTGGTCTCGCAGCATCCCCACTAACCGCTGCACTTCGCTTGTGAGGGTGCGAATGGTGTCCTTGAGACCCTAACGACAGAACGATGTACAGTATGTAAATACTTGCACCGAAGCGCCAACCTCGGCGTTGAGCGTCAACTGCTCCACAGTGGCCTCGGCTTTGGCGCAGCGTGTCGAGAGTACGTGCGTGTCGTTCGTGGTGCGCTGCAGCTGCTGCTTGAGCGTCCAACACGCCATGTCGGTGTCGCGCAGGCGCTGTTCGAGGGCATTGAGGCTCTCGTGGTCGCGGGCCTGCACACATTGTCTTCGCTTCGTAGACTAGAAACGGTCGTAGGATATTACTTGCGTAGCGAGAGCCGCCTCGCGGTCGTTTTGGAGGTCGAGGACCAAGATTCGATTATCAGCGACCACCGACGTGCGCATCTTGATCTCCATCTGCAAGCCCATGAAGTGAATTCTCACACATTAGGTACCTGGAGCTGCCCTTGGAGTACAATGTTGGCTTGCGCGCCTTCGTCCAGCTGCGCGTGGAGTTGGCGGTTCCTACAACCGGTTCATTGAAGGGCAGAGAGTGGGATCGAACGCACGTCTGCTGCAACGTCTCGACCGTCGCCTCGGCGAGCACCTTGGCGGCATCAACCGCTTCCAGTCGCGTGCTCAGGTCGTGAATCGTTTTGCGATTCATGTCCTACGCGTGAGCCGTGCGTTTGCGTCACAATGACACATTGTACATTTTGAAATTGCATCTGTTGCATCCGCTGGTCCCACTACCGCCATCCTCATCAGAATCCTTCGGAAGTGACAGAACGTACGTCCTCTTTGTGTGCCGTCCACGCCCGGAGCTGCTGGTCGTGCTCGATCTCGAACGCTGTACGGGCAGCATCAAGGCTCTTGATCCGGGCGACGAGGTCGTCCAGCTGCCGCGTCAACGCCGCCGAGCCGTCTTCCACGCGTTTCCAGTGGTGTTCACGCTCGCTAGGCGCAGATTTTGACCATTAGCAAGCTATTATGGTTGTACCGGCACCACGCCATCAAGCTCGCTCGCTCGTCGGTCGCGCGTCGAAGCTTCTCGTACTGCGTCTCGATGAGGGTCTGATGACAGCACTGAGTTCCATGCCGCTGTCGTTGGTACCAAGCACCTGCATCTCGTTAACTTGGTTTTCCAAGCACGCAGTTTCGGTCGCGGCATTGCTTAGCTGCGTTGTCACGTCGGCTACTTGCGCGGCGAGTGTGGACACCTTGTCTTCGTAGAACGCCTTGAGCTATGGAACGTTCAAGTCGAAAGCGCCATGTATGTGCGTACTTGATGGAGCTGCTGTGCCAGCGCGTCGTCGGCATCGGGATGCTCGGGCAGCGGACCCTGGACGCCGCTCACTTGCCGGTTCACGACGCGCTTGAAGAGGTTTGCAGGCTGGTTGGCAGGTGCTACATCCGCCTCACTTGACACTGCCATGGAGGAGACGACGACCATACGTTTTGGTGTGCTCCGAGACGGGGACGGGACCGACTTGGTTGCGTCTTGGCGCAAGTTCTGGCGCAGTCGGCAGATCTCTTGTCGATCCAGCACCATGCGATCGTTTCGAGATCGCCAAGCTGACAACATGTGTTGCAGAACCGGTTCATTGAGCCGGTTCGCACGGCTGGCTTCAACAGCTTGAAGTGCCCATAGTCACTGCCACCGAAACGCTCACACAAGCATATTTATCGTGGCAGCTCCATTTACACTAGAGTAGCATCGTACACGACAGGTACCCACTCTATCCAAGCACCCTTCAGGAGGCTTGAGGCAGGCCACCTACGTGGCGTCTCGGCTGGTGCCCGAGGTCGCTTTGGACTTGACGTGCACGAGTTGGCTCTTTTTGATCGCTTGATCAATCGCAGACAAGTTGTCCAACGGCAGTGCATACATCGCCGGCGTAAACAAAGCGTGTGCCGACGGTATCGCTGGCACGCTCGGTTGCGTGAGCGTAAACGTTCGCCACGTCTTGATGTCGAGGCCGTAATAGCTCCCGTTGTAGCGCACCGAGACGAGTCCATTGAGGGCGGCGGACGCGCGGTCGAGGCAGTAGACATCCTTGTAAATCCACTTGGCGCTCAGAAAAAGGTACTTGGCGCCGGCGTAGAGCAGGAGCGACTCGGCGTGGTTCTTTGGCGGCTTGCGCACGAGCCAGCGCATAAAGCCAAACGTTGCGACGTTCAAGACGCCGACCAACAACACGAGTAGGGCGACGCGGCTTCTGACGCCAATGACGACGTCGCCGCCCGTGCACACGATTTGAAAGTCGACTTGCGCGATGTCACACGCACGGCCGAGCGACGCGGTGTGCGTCACGGGCGACACCATACTTAGGAGTGCGGTCGTGCCGGTCACGAGAAGCCCGTTGGGTGTCACGTACAGCGCTGTGTGTTCTTTGGTCCAAATCATCAAGACGTCGTTGACGATGGCGACGAGCCACGACACTTCGCTGGCCGCCAGACACGTCTTGTACCAGGGTACATCGGTCGAGTGAAGGTAGCTCATACTGCCCGCCACTTGGAGGTCCAGGGACCCGGTGCAGAGCACGGCCATGGCCGTGAGCGACCGCAGAAAGAGCAGCGGGCGACCGACCCAGACGATGCCGCCGACACGACTGAGCTCAAGCATGTTCATGCCCTCGACATGCCCTCTCGACGCAAGAATGTAGACGCAGGCCAAGATCGCAACCGAGAGAACGACGAGCGTCACGTACATGGCGCCAGTCCGAGCGTACGTGGCCATCGTGGTTGGGATCTCCCACGGCGCGACGCCTTGCTGGAGCGGCAGCAATTGGTCCGTCAGAAGCGTGATGCTGCCGACGTCACCGTCGAACGCCACGACTTCGCGAAAGCCTTGGAGCCACTCGGCCACGTAGCACCACGCAAAGAATGCAAAGTTGGCGTCACTCGGGTTGAAGAGTGGGAGCTGCGACCACGTGAGTGGCGACGTCTTGTTGGTGCGCGTCAGCTGCAAGAGCGAGATATCAAGCGCCGTTGTCGCAGCGATCGCGGCAGCCACCTCGGGTGCCCAGTCGATGGAAGGCAGGTAGGTGTCGAGGTACGACCTGGCGCCACGAAGGTAGTCGGGACACGCCTTGTACCCGCTGGTATCGGCAGCGCAGATAGCAGTGATGGGACTGGCAGGAGTGATACCCGAGAGGAGTAGTGCAAACACCACCTGCTCTCGTGATGGCGTCAGCTTTGCTTGTGCTCCTGTTGAACTCGAGCACCGCGCACTGTAGGAAAGCAGGTTGACTAGGCCCGTCGTCAGCGCAAGTCCGCTTGAGCTTCCTAGCTCGGGACAGAGCGGCGACCCGCCGTACGACAGCAGCTTGGCACTCAGCCACGGCTGCGGGACGGGGTACATTGAGCCAGGCACATAGATACTCATGTATGCCGACTGACTCTGGTTGGAGCTCAGCGCGCTGCTTCGAAGAGCGCTAAAGACGTGCAAAAGAAGCCGCTGGGCCGACGCCGGTGCACGAACATAGCGCATGTCCATCGAGCCAAAGGGTCCAAGGACGCTTCGGACAAAGCTAAATCCAGCGCCAAACGGAGTCGAAATGGTCATGTTGGTCACGAGCACCGCCGCGAGCGACGTGTTGGCAAACGCAAAGCGGGCACTGGCGCGCAATAGCGAGAGACCGCCGATGCCACTGCTGTTGGTGCTCACAGCTGCCAGGTCGTTGGCGAGGGCCCAGTACGCCTTGAACGTCGTCTGCGCGCTGAACTGGTACGAGCCGTTGAGCGCTTGCAGCGTCAGCGCCGCTGTCGTGCTGTACGCCGACAAGACATTGTAGGAGCTGAGGAGACCCACTTGCTTGAAATTTTGCCACTGCACATCGTACGTTACGACGCCAAACGTGCGCCAGTAGGTCGCTTCATCCACAATCGACAAGGGATTCTCTGCTTGCATCTGGTGTAGCCAGCGCTGACCGTCCAAAGACGTCTGAAGGTCGTTGGCAAAAGCAATCTGGAAGGCGAAGCCCCAGCACGGCTGCCAGTCGTCCCAGTGGACATTGCGAAGCAGGCTCTCAAGGTAGACGGCGCCGTTGGTCGTCATGCGGGCACAGCGTTGCTGGCGCCGCGCCGAGTTGGCCATGGGCCACATCTGCTGAAAGTCGAGGAAGCAGTACTGCGTAAAGATCCACGGTGCGTGGGTGCAGGCGTCCATCGATCGCAGACCAGCAATGATAGCAGGTAGCGTGTTGAGCTGCGTGTGCTGGAGATGCGAGCCAAAGTTGGCGGCGGTTGTCACAAACACATCTGGCGCGCCATACAGTAGCGTGGCCGAGATGTTACGCGTGTCGAGCGCCAACGATGCGTAGCTCGCGTTGAGATAGAGCTGTTCGTTGTACCAATTTGCGAGGAAAGCGTGGGCGCCCGTGCTGTTGAAATTGGCCCACCACAGGTCGTTGGCCAAGTTGACTTGGGAGACACTGAGGTACGAGAGCGACCCGACGATCGTAGCCGTCATGTAGACGAGACCCGCGAGCGCCAAGGGTCGATCCCAGCTGTGACGCTCGAGGGGCGAGTTGGCCGAGAGCAGCAACAACGATCCGGACGGTGTCGTGCTCTTCAGTGGCGTCGTCTCGTTGACAGTCGTCGTCTTGCCCGACTGGTACACGGACACGGTGTCCTTGACGACGAGCCACGACTTGAGGTCGAACGTAAAGTGTTTTCGGTGGAGCGTGAAGGGCACGAGACCCGCCATGATGCACGAGACGCGGTCGATCGCCCAGACGTTTGTGTCGCCCATCGTCGTAAAAAAAGCGTTGGTTGCCGACGAGATGAGGAACGGCGTCGTATCCGACCTGTCCTCGTGACTGATGCGGCGTACGTGCAAGGCGAGTGCTGTCATCCCGAGTGCAAGCCCGACCACAAGCAGTTGCAGCCATAACAAGAGCGTGATGCGGTCGGTGCTGCCCACCTCGACGACGCCGCTCGTACACGAGAGAAAGTAGTCGACGTCGGTGCTGCTGCACACTCGGTGCAGTGTCGCCGAGAGCTCGACTGGTGACGTTGCGTCCAGTACAATGTACAAAAGCCAGAGCGCGCAGCTACTGATTGGCGCATAGTAGGCCGAGAGCCGGGGAACCACCAAGAGCAGAATGTCGTTGAGGACATATGTGATCCACGTCGCCTCGCCTGCGACGACGATCGTCTCGACCAGCGTCCGGGGCGTCGACGCAAACCGCGTGCCTTGGCTCGTTGCCATCAACGACACTTGGGCGGTGCTGAGCAGCAGCATGGCAGTGCCACCGCGCACAAGGAGCAGCGGGCGGCCGATCCAAACCGAGCCGACGACGCGGTTGAAGCGAAAGAGGTTGCGACCCACGAGGTGAAAGCCGCTGAGCGCACCGTAAAACGTGCAGAGCGACGCGACGAGCAGTAGGAGCACGCTCGTGTAGACGCAGAGGTAGTAGAAGACCTTGGTCGCTTGCTTGAGCTCGTTCGACGGCGTCGCCAACGTCGTCGGCGCGTACTCGTTGGAGATGAGGACGAGCGAGGCGACGTCGCCTTGAAATGATAACACTTCGCGCTTGCCATTCGCCCAGTCGAGAAGGAAGAGGTAGCCAAATACGCTCCAGGTCGGGTCCGAGAGCAGTTCATGCTGCAACAACACCCAGTTGCCGCTGGTCACTTCCTTGGCGTACTGCATGAGACTCACACCAAGCGGCGACACGCTGGGTGCAATTGCAGCCATCGCGGTCGTGGTGGTTGCTGAAAGGGATGGCAGCTGCGTCACGACGGCGCGCGCCGCTTCGATCGACGCGACACAAGCGGCTTGCGTCACGTTCTGCGAGGCGCACGTCGCTGTCGACGTGCGATCTTGTGACGCGACAAGACAGAAAAGCAGTGCATCCGGGGTGTGCGTGATTAGCAGCGGCTTGGGCGTCCCGCAGGCGTCGCTGTAGTCGAACGACTGCTGCACAAACGACCGGACGGCGTTGTTGGTGCACATGGGGTTGCCGCCGTAGAACGCGTAGCCAGGTGTCCACGCCGGCGGTACCGGGCGCGTCGACGTGATGGAGAGATTGGCGTACGCCGTCTGTACTGTGGACGAAGCGAGCGCGAGGTCGCACTGGAACGCTGCTATGGCGATCGCAATGGTCGGAGGTGGCGCCACGTAAAAGATGTCGACGCTAATGAACGGACCAACAGTCGAGCGAAAGACACTAATTTGGTTGACGCAGCGTCCAGGTGTCGGACACAGACCCTGGTATACCTCGAGGTCGATCGCGGCGCCATAGAGACTCGAGTTGGCTCCGAAAAAGGCGGGGGCTTGCCGCACCAAACTCCGAGGGGGTTTCTGAAATACAAAAATGTCGTTGAGGAAGCGCCAGTACATGATCATGGACGTCCATGGTCCGTTGAGAAGCGGCGTGTTCTTGAGCTGAAACTGCTGCTGCATGCCGAGCGCGTTCTGGAGCAGCATGGTCTCGGTGACGCCTGGGCCGCGCTTGTTGCCCCACTGCAGCTGAAAGTACGAGAGATGGAAGGTCGACCAGCGCGCAATCTCGTCATCGATCGACGTGGTCGCTCGCGCGCTGGCGGTCGCGTCGAGCCACGCTTGGCCGCCGGGCAACGCCACCAAACCGTTTTGGATGGTGATGGTAAACTTGTTGCCGGCGCCGCCCCACATGGCCATAAAGTCGTCCCACACCAGGTTGCGCAAGACACTCTCGAGGTACACGGCGCCGTTGGACGCATACTGCGTCTCGCACCGACGCTGGCGCTCGGGCGTGTGCGCGACCTCCCACCGCTTCTCAAAGTCGACCCAGCAGTACTGCGTCATCATGCGCGTGCTCCACGCCGCCGAGAGGTTCCGGAGGTTGCCGACTGCGTACGGCACCGAGACGCACTCGGTGAGGATGACCTGGTTGACGTACGTCGGGTACACGCTCGTGTAGGCGACGGACGCGTCGTACTGCTTGCGGGTTATGGCGGCCGGGCCAAAGACGTCGAGAGCGCCTTGGGCGGTCGTGGTGAGTGCGATGTTGGCAATGTCGGCAAGGAACGACTGGTGGCCGGTGGTGTTGTAGTGGGCCCACCAGAGATCGTTTTGCATGCTGGGCGCGAGCATGTAGAGGTAAAAGACGCCAGTGGCGAGCGAGAGGTAGAGGTAGCCAAACCCGAGTAGCACTTCGAGTCGCTGGGCGCCACTGAGGCGGTGCGGTGTACCCGACGACCCTGCCGGCGTGATGCGTTCCTTGGTCATCGAAAGTTGTTGTGTCCCTTGGCTTTTGGCTGTTTCGATTTTGGGCGCCAGTGTGTGTGATTGGCTACCGGATTGGCATGGTGCAAGGTGATTGGTGGAAAAGATTCTATGTGGACATGGATCCGGGGGTAGGGTACAATCTTGAAATAGTACGGTAGTGGTTTTGAAACTGCACTCCATCCAGAATTTGGACAACCAGAGTAGAGAGTCCCACTAGTCGATTTGCGGGCGGCGCTGGAGTTTGCATAAGTTGCGATACGAATCCATCGAAAAGTTAGAGGTATGTTTATAGTCTACATGACTAAGCAGCAATATCACTCGTCGCCGGGGCGGTTGGAGTAGCGGCTGGAGCCTGTACGACCGGCAGCTGGTCCAGGATCGCGTGCATGTTTTTGATTTTGGCAACAAGGACATCTTGAACGCGTTTGATATGGTCGAGCTGTAGCATCATTTCAGCGCTCACTGCGCCCGTGCTCTCGGTGGTGGAAGGCTCGGTGGGCGGTGACGTTGCCCAGTTGAGCCGGTACCCGGGGGCCTTTGGTTTCGCCGACGATTTGCGCCGGACCTTGGGCTCCGAGCTGTCCGGTGTCCTCGTCGTGCTTGCAAATGCTGCACCATTCGCACGGGCTTTGGAGTAGTTGGCGAGCTTTTGCATCATTTTTGGAAAATGCACCAGTGCTAACCATGAGCAACATCAACCAACTTTGCGAAATCAGGAAAATCTCGTTATACCTTCCAGAAAGCGGACGCGCGAGAGCATGCGCAATTCGCAAAAGCACAGCGTGCGCACGGTGGCCATGCGCTTGCAATCGCGGTTGAGAATCGCCATTTCGCCTGATTGAATCCTGTAAATTAGCATATTGTGTAGGGGTAGGGTACTCTACCAAAGTACTGGTTCTCCCCCAAGACGGTGAGTTGCATGCTGTCCTTGATGACTTCGACAGCGCCGCGGAAGATGAAGAACATTTCGTGGCCGAGCTCGCCCTCGACGCACACGTCTTCGAACGGCGCAAAGCAGATCATGCGCATGCTGAGCGCGAGGTCCATGATAAAATTGGGGTCGCTGCCCTTGAAAAAGGGAAATTTCCACAGAAAATGGTCGTTGATCGCGAGCGCAATCTTGGAGCGCAGCATCGCCGAGAGTTCGTTCAAGAGCTCTTGCTCCTGCTGCATGTCGTTTTCTTTCGACTTGCGTGCATTTTGAAAAAAATCCCGAATCTCATCGCGCAAATGTCGTGGCAGGTCCCGCGCCGCCATGTATTCATTGATTTCGTCCTACGAGCAGCCCGCATCAGTCGCAGTTTACGAATCATGTCGAGTCGAATTCGACGACCATTTTCTCTCGGAATGCCGTCTCGTGCGCTGTCAAGCTCGAAACGAGCGATACGATCTATCGTAGCCTTGAAATCGAGTCGATTGTCCAGTCGACAAGAGCCAACGCAACCACGTACGTTGGTGATACCGTAGGCAAAGATACCCGCGCCAGCAAACATGGCGAAAATCGCAAAGCACCGCTCGTTGGGGCTAATACCCGACACTACATCTCCCATATCCCATCCATCCTTTGAAGAAGAGGCAAGTAGTACCATCCCCGTACCCCACTGTGGCGCTAGTCCACAACGAATTAAGCCAATTGCGACTTGATCACCGGTACGTACAGTGTCATAATGGCCCAGTACAAGGCAGCGATATATTGGTCCCAGATCGTCATGTGGAGGAGGTCTTTGGCCTTGAGCCACGTGTTGACGGGCGGATCGCTGTAGTACGAGTCTTGGAACGACACCCAGAAAAAAATACACCTAAAAAAATTAACCACAAAAAACAAGAAACCACGAATTATCCCGTACGCAAACCAATGCGAGATGAAGAGAACTGTGAGGCAATAGCGGAAGAGACTGCTGATCGTCGACCGAATCAAAAGCGCGTGTTGCAGCCGGTTGAGAATCCGCAGCATCCGGAAGAGTCGAAGCAGCCGAAGCAAGCGGAAGAGCTTGAGTGCTTTGGAGAGGACGGGGTCGGCGTCGCTGATGACGGCCGAGAACGGAAAGCTCGAGACCGCGTCGACGATGAACCACGACTTGAGATAGTCGCACACAATGACACTTCGATCAAAATGCACTTTGTTTTTGAGCTCGACCGCCGTGAAAAAGTTGCTCACCTACAAAGAAGACAATCTGTCGTTTCGCCTGTCGCTCGACGAGGGCGCACAATGTCGATCGCAAAGAAGACGTCGAGAACTTTGTCGATGAGGGCTTCGTTGTCACTTTCGGGCATGTTGGTCTCAAACGTCACTTGAAACTAGATGCCGTTGCTCGACGATCGCAGACGTAAAAAATAGCAATTACCGGGACGACAAAGGCGTTGTAGAAGATCAAGACAATGCACACCACGTCCCAGCGCAGTCGTATCTTGCCGTGCGGATGCAGCACCCAGCGGTGGTGGACCGGAATCAACTCCTTGGTGTCGACCACGCGCCTTGTGCCGTTGGGGCCAACTAGAAACACGACGGTGTGAGTCCGCCTCGTCACACACCGCTCGCACTTTTAAAGGCACTTTGCTTGGCCAGGCCCGTTGTCTTGGCCTTGAGCGCGGCTTCCAAATGCTCGTGTGTTTGCATTTCTTCTTGCGGCGTCATGGACACTTGAACCGGCGTCGCCGTCGTCGAGAGCGCAATCATGTCTCGACCCATATTGGGCGCCGAGGCCCGGAGCTCCTCTGTGATGTCGGCAGGTATTTCTGACTCATCATCGTCGTCGTCGTTGGTCAACGGCGGCACCAAAACGGGTGCTTTGACGAGCCCAACCGAGAGCGCACGCGCGCTCCGGCCCATCTTGATGACGTGCAAGTGGCTCTCGCGGCGTGGATGAATCTCGGGGCGGGCCGATGGTGGCAGCGGCAAGCGCTGCCGGCAGCCGGTGCTGACAGCATCCAGTGTCGGACCGGTCGGATCCATCGACTGCGGAAATGAAACGGCACGGCGCTTCGGGCACCAATCGCGTGTCGAGAACGCCAAGTGCAAACACTGTTTGTACCACTGGCGCCACGAGATTCTGTCTCGCGCGAGTCTTTGGCATACTCTGTCGGCCACATACCGGTACGGTATGTGCAGTCGATGGGATGGTTTGTCATTGTGTACGACTATGGTTGCGAAAACGCTCTAGTCAAAACAACCTTGGAACGCAGAAGCGGAGGACCTCTTCTCGCTGGTGCTGCTCCGTTCGCGCTGTAGCTCGGCCTCGTCTCGTACTCCATCATACAGCGTCAGCCCATTGAAATCTCAATACGAATAGTGCTCGAGAGTATTGCGGATGCGATAGACTCGATAGCAAATGCATATATGCACATCGAGAGTGCAGCAGCACCGACGTCGACTACTTTATCTCGTGCACGAAAAGCGTCGTCGAGGTGGGCACCACCGACCGCATCACATCTTGTTGTGGCTGCAACTGCTTGTGGTCGGCCTTGCGCTCGGGAAGACGGCACTCGTCTTGCGTGTCCACGGCTGCATCGTCTGGGTCGGTCGCCAGCTGCTCGTTCTGCGGTCGCTCACGGCCATGGCCGTGCTCTGCACCGGGTCCCTGGACCTCCAAGTGGCGGGCAGTATGAGCTACCTTCACTCGACCGATGTACCCTGGTACAAGACGTGTCTGGCGGCCAGCGAAGTGTCGTGGCTAGTCGCCATCGTCAACGACGTCTTGATGATCTGGACCAAAGAACACACAGCGCTGTACGTGACACCCAACGGGCGTCTCGTGACCGGCACGACCGCACTCCTAAGTATGGTGTCGCCCGTGACGCACACCGCGCCGCTCGGCCATGCGTGTGACATCGCGCAAGTCGACTTTCAAATCGTGTGCACGGGCGGCGACGTCGTCATTGGCGTCAGAAGCCGCGTCGCCCTACTCGTGTTGTTGGTCGGCGTCTTGAACGTCGCAACGTTTGGCTTTATGCGCTGGCTCGTGCGCAAGCCGCCAAAGAACCACGCCGAGTCGCTCCTGCTCTACGCCGGCGCCAAGTACCTTTTTCTGAGCGCCAAGTGGATTTACAAGGACGTATACTACCTCGACCGCGCGTCCGCCGCCCTCAACGGACTCGTCTCGGTGCGCTACAACGGGAGCTATTACGGCCTCGACATCAAGACGTGGCGAACGTTTACGCTCACGCAACCGAGCGTGCCAGAGATACCGTCGGCACACGCTTTGTTTACGCCGGCGATGCATGCACTGCCGCTGGCGTGCTTGTTGGACCTCAGCGAAGCGAAGAGGCTATAATGACGAGCCGAACTGCCACGGTAAGGCTAAAGTCGCACCCGACGTGCACGCCGTCTTCGTTGGCAGCCCCACCACCTGTGGCCTGCTGCAAGTTGAGTAAGCTGGTGCCTCTCCAAGGGTCATTTGCGGTGCGAGGGTCCGGGCCATCCTCGTTACTAGTAGGCTCATCATAAGATCTAAGGTTGTCATGCGTCAAAGTTGCTGTAAAGGAGAGTGATCTGCCGCGCTGCGTTGAAAGCGCTGGTCGTGTATCATCATCGCGCACTGGACGATGCTGTAGCAATCTTCCAGCGATGTTGAAGCTGCGGCGTTTCGCCCAATGGCTTTGCTTTCTATCCGGATGTCCGGATACGAAGCAAATCTTGGCTGTTGTGTCAACAGGCAACTCGCCAATTTTCCTCCTCGATGCACGCGATCACCCGCCGCCTCTCGCCGCTTGCCGCCCGCCCGCTCCGCCGCTGGCGCAGCGACGCGTCCAACATCTCGCTTCTGCGCGAGTGGATCCAGCCGACGGCGTCGGTGACCAAGCTCCAAGACCTCTCGTTCGAGACGCTTGCGATCACGTCGTCCCTCGATGGCGCCGCGACCAGCGGCAACGCCGGTGTCCAGGACGGCGTCTTGAACGTCCGGCTGCATCGCCCAAAGAAGCTCAACGCGTTCGACATGCAGATGTGGAACGAACTCGATGTGCTTTTCCAGGCCATCGAGCACACGCCCGAGGTGCGCGCGGTGGTCATTCGCGGCGAGGGCCGTGGCTTCTCGTCGGGCATGGACCTCGGCGTCTTTGCGGCCATGCAAGAGCTCATCACGTCTTTCGAATGCGAAGGCCGGAAGCGCGAAGCGCTTCTCGGTGTCATTGCGCGCTTTCAGCGCATCATCTCGGCCCCTGAGCGCTGCCGCGTGCCGGTCATTGCCGCCGTCCACGGTAGCTGCATTGGCGGTGCCGTTGACTTTGTCACGGCCTGCGATATCCGCCTCTGCGATACGAGCGCCGAGTTTAGCGTCAAGGAGGTCGACCTCGCGATCGTGGCCGACGTCGGCACGCTCCAGCGTCTGCCGAACCTTGTCGGCGAGCAGCGAGCCAAGGAGCTCGCGTACACAGGTCGTAGCTTCTTTGGCGACGAGGCCGAGTCCATGGGCCTTGTCCTCAAGAGCCACGCAGATGTGAACGACCTCTTTGAGCATGCGACCGCACTCGCCTCGACGATTGCGGCCAAGAGCCCGCTTACGATCCGCGGTGTGAAGAAGGTCGTCCAGTACCAGCGCGACCACTCGACGCAAGACTCGCTCGACCAAGTCCAACTTTGGAACTCGGCGATGCTGTACAGCGCCGACTTGGCCGAAGCCATGACGGCGATGGCGACGCGCAAGCCGCCTGTCTTTAAAGATTAGGTCATCTCGCCCGTCGTTTTGGAAATATCGTAAATAAGACAACTTGTCATTGTGTGCGTTACCACAACTACATCACGGCGTGGTGACGAGAATGCACGACGGGCTCTCGAGGCACGTCGACTCGACCGAGAAGCGGCGTTGAAGACTCACTAGGGGGTGACAACATCAGAAAGAGCATCGATACATCGAGAATGGACAGGTTGTCGATACCTTTGTGATCGCGGAATGCCTTGATAAACCAAGCGCTCACTGCTAGCATGAGCACTGAGACGACGAGAAGGAGCGTCACCGCCCACGACGGGGCTCGGTTGTCTAGAGTCAGATTGAGCAAGTGAAGGGCAACGACGCAACCACATACCCGAGGCCGACGCTGAAGTTGTCGCTGTAGCACCAAGTGGCTGCATTCGGACGCTACCCGGCGGACAGTGCATGGTGACGGACCGACCGGCAATCGAGAACGTGATCGGAACATGCTGGAAAAATGGAAGTCCCAAGATCCACTCGGTGCCATCGCCGGCGCTCAAGAGCAGTCGTCGCCCGGCGTCCAAGTACAACTCTGGTGTTAGAAGGAACGTGGTTGATGCGTTGCCCAGTGTAAAGCGCAGGGTCGGCAAGGCGACAGTGGTCGGACACACATAGAAACCGTCAATGATAGCGCACGCTGTGAGATACCGCGCCGCCATCTAAGCACTGGTTGAGCCATCGAGAGGTGTAGAAGTGGCGTACGTACGGTGAGCAAGAGGCTTTTTGGCATTTGAATGGTGGGGTGTGTCGCGTTGAGTGCTACGGGACAGAGGGCGTTGGCGCAGGCGGGCGCGGGTGCACCAACTTCGAACGAAAGACTCGACATGGCGACTGTCCACGTCGGCGTCGGCAGCAAAAGAAGCGGCAGCGAGACAGGCGTCAAGGCCGCTTGCGTATGGTAGATGTCGTCGAGACCGTTGAACACGATCGCGCTGTGTGTCGGGGCAAGGTACACGGTAAACGTGTCGACGCCGACGAGCCCGGACGTGTTGGCGATCGGGCGACCGAGGCCGAGACGACCGTCCGTGCCAAAGGATGTTGTAGTAGCTACGACACTGCCGTTGTCGATAACGAGAGCGCTCGACGCCGCGACGCCGGGAACGGTGATGGACATTGTCGTAGTGTCGGGCGAAACGGCGTACACCGTATCGTTGACAGTGACGTTGCCAGTATATTGCCAATCGAGGCCATGCGGCGTCATCACCAACGGCAAGCGCACCACAGAGCTGGCGAGAGACGTGGTTGCCATGAGCACAGCGACCACGGCCGCACACTGTCGGGTGATCATGGGAAAGCGGTGAAATGGAAAATGCGCCTTGTTACTGTCACATTGCTACAGGCTGCCCACGACACGATGAATACCCAATCCTCTACGACGGGGCCCGGCCTGTCCCAAGATGCAAAAGTGCGTGAGGCACGCGAGCCATCCACTGCGCAAGCATTGCCCACGTGGCACGCCCAGCTGCGATTACCGTCGCGGCACAGAATGGCCCAGGAACGTTCTCGCATGACATCTCGCGACGAGACCGATGCGGCAAGGGCCTCCATGGTGTTCACGCACAGATCGACGTTGGACGACGAGGGTAGCAAGCTCTTCTTGCGCCCATGTCCCTGCTATAGCGGGCAATTGCTCGGTGGTGCGTGCGTCGAGAACGTTGCTGGAACGTGCGGCGACAGGACGTTACCAAAATGACCCACCACCTGTCCACCTCAAGTCAGCCACATCGGCAGCTTTTGCAGGTCTCGTGGCAAGGTTGGCAAAATAACGGTTATTTGATTTTTCGTTACGTTATAACGGTTCCTAACCAGGTTAGTAACAGTTAGTACCAATTGGGTAACACATGGACTAAGCTAGTCCATGAACTGTTCTGATTGGCTGAGACGAACAGCGTCGCTTTGATTGGCCACGTCTCCAGCCAGCTCGTGCTGCCCTTTGTACCGGTACCAAGTTCTGGTGGTGCATGCGCCATGACCAAGCGGAGGCACGATAACTGGCGGTACTTCGAGAAGCAGCACGACTTGCTGCGCAACCACCAGTGGTGGAAGATGTGGTGCAAGGCATGTATTGAAGCCTACCAGAACATGGGCCTGGATGGGAACGGCGCCGTGTCGGAGCCCGAAACGCTTGAATCCCGGCCGGCGAAGATGACCAAGCACGTCGAGGAGTGCCGTCACATCGCTGCCCAGCTCGATCGACAACGTGTACGACAAGAAGAGCGCGCGGACGCCGAGCAGACCGCGCGAGAAGAGCACGAACAGCCTCGTACCTCGATTCACACGTTGAGCATGTTGCAGCGGCGCCCATCAAAACCCGTCCGCTAGTCGACTCCAAGAATTCGCCTTACTTTGACTGCGATCTCTCTCGGCATGAAGTCGAAACCTTCCACCGCCTGCTCCTTGATGTCCTCTGGAATTTCGGACGAGCTCGACGCCATGGGGATGACCGAGTCCGAAGACCCAGTGATTGAGCAAGGCGCAGACGCCATTGCGTTCTGGTCTGAGATCCTCGCTTTGCTGGGACTGGACGACTCGGCGTTATCACCTACTCATGCCATGGCCGACCTCGTCGAGACTCAAGAGCTCGTCGCCCTTGGGCCCCGCCCGTCTTTGGCGCCTCCAACTCTACCTGCAAGCCCCTTGCCACCGCTCTCGGACACCAACGTCGCGTCGTACCCGCAATACGCCCTTTCTGCGGACCCTACTGCGCGGTCGACTAAGGTTACCCTGGCAGCACTTTTTGGCAATGGCATCGTGCTTCCGGCTTTGTACAAGGCGATTTATAGCACATATGCGCGTATATGACTGCGGTGTTGATGTGGGAGCACGTATGGGCTAGGTACGCCGCGCGCCTGCTATGGGTTATGGCCTGTTACGTTATAGGATTTCGAGGCATTAACATAACAGTGTTAGTAACAGGTTAGTAACGTAACGTTATTGCGTTATAACGGTTAGGTCCGCATCCTTGCTCGTGGGTCTTGGGACGCGTCGTGGCAAATGCAAGAATGAAGCACACGCGTCAGCATTGCAAGTGACCGAGACGGGGCACGGGCAACTGCGAACCCCGTGCCACCACCTCCTCCATGGCACTTTGGTTCCTGTTTGTCCCATCCTCATAGCGACCAAGGTGACCTCTTCGCCGGCGATAGAGGTACCGGTATGCATCGAGGTTCTGTGGCATTCTTTGTGTGCGTGATCGATTACCTAGACATGGTTGTGGTGCGTAATACTAGCAGTGCATAAAACGCAAGATGTATGCGGTGGTGCCTCCGTGACGTGCACGACTCGCGTTGCGTGTCTGACTCGACTGCAGGATGCTCCATCTTTGCAGCTTTACTAGCGCCACGCTTGACGTTATGAGCTGACGTCGTCGTGGTGCACGTGGCAGCTGATGTGAGCACGCGCTTCCCGCCATGGAGACGCTTTTGAAATATGGCTTCAATCCTGCGGTAGCAGATGTTCCTTTTTCGTGTGTATTCTTTTTTTTTTGCATTTTCTTTTATTGTCAGTAGATTAGCTCTTCTTGGCCAGCATCCCCATGGCCTGGAGCTTCTCAATGTGTCCTTGGAGAAGCGCGGCAGCGGGAGCGTCCCAGTACGTCCATCCGCTCCGCCCGAGTGCATCGGTCGTCGCGAGGTCGGCACCGTACTCCAATAGGAGCTTCCCGCACCCGACGTTGCCGTGGACGGCCGCGCAATGCAGGGCCGTCCATTTACTCCGGTCGATCGCGTCAATCTCGGCGCCGCCAAGCAGCAGAAAACTCACCTACAAAAAAGGATAGTAAGCGAGCCGATCTACTCGGCAGTTGGATGAGACCGCGCCTTCCATGCCGCGGGAGGCTGCCCAGTGGAGCGCGGTGCGCCCCTCCTTGCTCTTGTGGTTGACGTTCGCACCGAGCTCTACTCGAATGGTTTAGTGTTGTCCGTCAACGACCAAGTACCGAGAAGTCGAGAGATGACAGTGATGTGCCCGTTGGCCGCCGCACACATGAGCGGTGTCCAGCCGGCCACGTCGACAGCGTCCACGTGAAGGGCGGGGGCGGCGTCAACGAGGGCATGAATCGCCTTGAGCGCGCCGTGTTCTGCTGCATAATGCAGAGCCGTCCACCCCGCACCGTCTTTGGCGTTGACGTCGCAGCCGTTGAGCGCCAGCTCGCGGAGGCGCGGGAGGAGCCCTCGACCTGCGACCGTGCGGAGTTCCTCCCCAAATTTGAACGCTGGCGTGTACACGGTGGTAAAGTAGTTGAGGAAGGCTTCATGGGAGACGCCGTCGCGGGTGATGGTGGGCGGAATGACGGGCGCGACCTCGCCCTTCTTGTGCACGGGAGGAGCCGCGGCCGCGGGGTTGGGCTCCTCGATGGGTGTGCACTGCAGCCCCGACGTTCGAAGTGCGTCGACACTTGTACGAATCGAGAGCTCTTTTAGCGCCGCGACCACGGTCTCGAGCGTCAAGAGTCCGTCCCTAGGTGCAGAAAGGCCGTTATTCATCGCCGAGACGGGTTCGAACCCGGACTTTGGGTCGTGGCGGGCAAATGCCTCCGAGGCTTTTGCAAAGTCGAGCTCGCGAAGCTCACTGATGCGCGCCATGGTGACTTTAACAGGTCCGTCAATGACGCCGCCGTTGCTGACCAGCGTCGTGACACGGGCGATGGCCTCGGGGCGCTCGCCAACAGGGTTGTGCACTTGGTGCACGAGGAGCTTGATCGTGCTCTGCATCGGGATCAAACCGTCGAGTAGACGCATCTCGAGTGCTTGCTGGTCCTTGTGCCACGTGGCGGTGACGGCGACAGGGCCCAACACATGCAAGGACGTCGGTGGTCGCACGTCGAGCGAAATCTTTGGCGTCGCGTCCATGTCCCAGCCGCCGTCATGGGCGAGTTCGACAAGAATTTTTCCTATGGCACGACATTAGCCGAGTGCACAAACATAGTCGCAGAAAGTAGTACCGCCGGCGGGAATCGAACCCGTGACTTTCAAGTCGAGCGATACGTCTGCGACGGCATTCGGACAGCAATTGAGTGGCATCCAACGGCGCTCGCCCGCGATCAACCCTACAAGCACACACGTCTCGGCGTCGTTTTCAACAGAAGAGGCCTAGATGTACCGGGGACGAGCGACGGTATCGTCATGCGCGTTGGACCGTCAATCACGTGGCCGCCGCGAGTCGAGGGCGGCACCGTGTTGCGAGCGACCTTCTTCTCGAACGTCGTCGCGACGAGCTCCCCGCTTGGCGTTGCGCACGCCGGTGTCGCGACACCGGCCACGGTCAGCGTGATCATGGCACCGGCCTCGATGTCTTCGTCGAGGGTCGTGACGTCGAGCGTGTGGGTGGCGCGGTGCCACACCGCCTTGGCGCGCGGCGACGGACGCCCCGCGGACGCGGCAACCACGACAAGCGGCACATCGGGAAAGCCCCAGCCCGTGTCTGGAAACACAAACACGAGCTTGCTCTCTTTGGGGAGGTTGCCAGAGGTCGAGAACGTCACCGAGGCCGCGCCGAGCGTTCCGGGCGAGTGGAGCTCGGCCTGCCACACACGAGGCCCGTGGAGCGTTCCGGGCACGACGACGCGGTGGCGCTGCGCGAGCTTGAGGTGCGCGCCGCGTTCGAGCTCGTCGTCGTCGGCCATGCCACCGACTTATAATCGAGTTGGCTATTGTAATCTATTCTTGGCGCGCGTCTTTTGCATTCGAGGTGGTGAACCCTAATCTCGTTTGTATGGTTATCGACCTCGATGAATGACTCCAAGTAGCCGATTCGCTCGCGTTACGTCGGCCGAATGCTACATGGACATACTTGGTACGCCGCAACCATCTCGCCGAGGTACCCCTGCCAAGTCCATGGACAATTGCCGTCAAGGCGGCGCGAGTCGCTCACATGCACTTGCACCATGGCCTCGTTCAAAAGCCGGGGCAGATGGCTCTCCGTCGCCTTCTCCGGCTCCACGCTCAACACGAGTGGCACCTTGCCCCGCGAATCGCGCTCCTGCCTCCGCCGGCCTAGATCAAGATCAACGCCAGCGCCAACACAACGAAGAAAGGCCGACAATTATATTTAGAGTAGATTTACGTATCGATTTTAATAGTCGACCCACTTCAACAACCATCTCGCTGAGGAAACCAGCATGAGGACGAGCGATTCGGGCGTCGAAAAATCCCCAGTTCATCAAGATCATGCGGGGCTCAACTGATGATGGAAAACAAAGGAACGCGTGCGAGGACCGGCGTCCTTCTTGTCATGGCTGTCGTCAAGGGGACTGCGTTGGCCTCCGCAACGGAGATAACGCACTGATGAGGGACGCACGCTGGTGGCCGGGTCATTGTCGTAGCCATTTGTGGTTTATCATGCACGGAGCAAGACCCTATATTCCTACAAATGCATCTTCTATTTACACCAAGTCGCTTCTACTTGGTGGCGTCGCGGGCGGCGTCGATCACGACGCGCGTAAAGCCAAACGCGGCGACCGACACGAGCACAAGACCAAATCGAGACGCGGCGTACGGCCCCGACGTCCGCGCAAAGTCCTTGAAGTTCCAGTCGTTGACGTTGGCCGGCGCAGAGAACGTCGTCCATTTCGCATACGTGGCATTCGAAGCGAGGGCGCGGGCCGTCGCGTTGTACGTGGCGACGGACGCGACCGCGCCGCCAAGCACACCGAGGCCCGTCATCGGCGGCGACGCTTTGGCGCCCACGACCGTCGTCGCGACAAACTCGCCCGTGTGGTAGGTAGCGTACGCTGCGACGCTGCCGCCGATAGCGCCGCCTGCAATGATCACCGGGAGCACCATGGTTGTGTCTTCTTGCGCGGTCAACTGGAAAATGAAAATGATCCCAGTCTGCAGCGTCGTCTGAGCGATGTTTCGGCTCAGAATGACCTGTCGCGTATGGCATACAAATTCCAAGTCTACCAAGAGCGTCCGTGATATCTGTGGCGATTGCGTCATCGGACCCAACGGTGTTGATGCAAAGCCAACGCCTTGCGCCAACGAGGGTGGACTCAGTTGAGTTGACGAGTTGTGGTAGTTGGTAAATAAATAGTATTACACAAAAGACACGCTTAGACCGTCGCGACGCGGTGGGTCGCACGCTGGGACCGCCGCAGCACTTGGACCTGCGTGGACGCGCGTTCGAGCCGGTTCTCCATGCACCCAAGCTCCTGGTCGAGACCGATGACGATATCGTCCGAGCTCTCGACCTTGGCGAGTGCAATTTGGAGAAGGTACTGCGCCTGCTCGAGCTGCTCGTCTTGCTTGAGCACAAGCACCCGAAGCTTCTCGATCGTCTCGATGAGCTCGCTGACAGTCGGGTCGCGCGCCCCCGTGGCTTTGGCCAGCGCTTCGTCGGTGTCGCGGAGGTCGGCCGTGAGGCGCACCGTCTTGCCCTTCAGATACGCGCGGAAGCGGTCGAGATCAGAAATCTGGCGCGGCTCGTCCGACTCGTTGTGCTTGGCGAAGAGCTGCGAGAGGACATTGCTCTTGCGTTTCTTCTTGACGTCGCTCGCGCGCGGCGAGCCGGCCGCGTACGTTTCCAAGTAGCGCTCGATTTCGCTGTTGACGTGCAGATCGTAGGCCAAATGGAGGCGCTCGACCTTGAGCCGTGCCTCGGCTTCGATCGCTGCCGTCCGCCGCTTGACTTCGCGCTCAATGTACGCTTCGATGTCGGTCTTGGCCTCGTGCGCGGCCTGGGCCTTCTGGCGCTGGCGCTGCTGGCGGAGCTTCCGCGGCAGCTTGTGCGTCGTCGTGATCCCAACCGAAGGCGGCAGCATCACTGCGGAAAAAGCAAACTGGTGAAACGCGCCACTTCAGCGCGTTTGTGGCAGACGGTTATTTAAATGCATCAGAAAATAGATAGGCTAGAAACACCCAACGGTCAACCCACTCTATGCGGTGCACGCGAGCGAGCGCGAGACGGTGAGAACATACCCTCGCAGGGCAAGCCGACGCATGACCAATGGTCTCATCAATGGCACTTGCACTCTGTTGGCGACGACTGATCGCTACGATGTATCAGATACAAATAGCAAGGATCTTCAAGACGAGGGCGCTTCGTGGCTGTGAGTAAGCTACTTGACTCTTCTTGCTCCAACGCCAAGCAAGATCTCGGAGCACGAGGCAATGGAGGACCTGAGAAATAGGTACACAACGGCACCTACCATGCTGGGCTCGACTACTCGACCTTTACAGTGCATTGCTGTCGGGAGTAGAATCGCCCCGAGGTCACTCACGACCTACATGTACACGTCATGGATCCCGCGTGTACCCAACTTTCGCGTCAAGAACCGCAAGGAGACATCGCCTCATTCCAGCGGCATCTCTCTCCCTCAGCGTGAGGGAGAGAGAGCGTAGCTGGTGACGGCAACTTGCGTGCGTTTAGACTCGCGAGGTGCGAATGGGGTGGCTATCTTTTTTATTGTACACTCCGAGATGGCAGCACCACGTGGTGCGAGAGAGCCGTCGAGTTGGAATGACCCGCGACAGCTCGCTCCGTAATGAGATGTAAAATTTTAGGCAAGGAGAGACAGCACTCATTGACGCTAGGACGTCCTACGCGATGTACACTAGGTGCAGCTCGTTTTGGGTATAGCTCCCGCGGCGCCTTTCCCTGCAGCTAATTTGACCCAAACGAACGGTCGCAGACCGCCACGTCATTGTCGACCAAGGCTCGAGGCTTGGTTGATGCGGAGGAGGATGATGTGGATCATGCACACAGCTTGGTCCAAGCGTCTGAACATCTCGACATGGATGCTCCGCGACGGAAGAGGACGTACTCGATCGCCAGCGTGACGCACGCTGTCCTGCCGGACAATTATGGCAGCAGTTACGGACCTTGTCCGTGGCTCCGTGTGTGCCCAAAGCCACTCGGGTCAACGGCACTAGTATGTTCTTGCGATTACCGACTCTTTCAGGTACTGAGCATTGAGTACTGAGTATATACTCTTGAGCTTGGTTCGGACGCGCAGGTCCTTCGCAGCTTCCTTCGTGCTGCACATGCGGCGTGTCAAGCTGGCGCGTAATGGGAACGGTAGTGGCATATGCCGAAATTGACTATTAAAAGAGGCATATGCCGCCCACATAGCCGTTACGGGGTCCGGATAAAAATCCTGCCAAACGATTGGCCGAAATCGCTGCAATTGATTGGCAGCCCACAAACGCGTTTTATAAATTCCGCACCACGAAGCATGAGCGACGCCAAGATGAACGCCAAGGACCGCCGGAAGCTCAAGCGTGCGCAGGAGCTCGCGGCCAAGGAGGTGACAGCAGTCGAGGTCATCGTACCCGAGCCCGTGGCCGCGCCTGCTGCGCCGGCGCCTGAGAAGGCCACGCCGGTTGCTGCCAAGGCCAAGAAGGAAGAGCCGGCGGCGGACAAGGCCATTGCTGCGCCTTCGGCTGCAAAGGTCAAGAAACCGTCTTCGGCGCCCAAAGAGGAGGAAGAAACGAAGGCCAAGACGGCTAAGGAGCGCAGCCTGGAGAAGCGTGCGGCGACGCGCGAAGCGCCGACCGAGACAACCGACGAGGCCTCGGGTATGAACGCCAAGGCACGCCGCCTTGCACAGCGTGCGGCCCAACGTGCGCCTGCGACAGCTGACGGCGAGGCGCCTGCCAAGCCCGAGTCGAAGCCGCGTCCGGCTAAGCGAAAGCTGCCCGAGAAGGAAAACCCGAACGAGAAGCGCATTCACTTGACGCTCTTCCTTGGCCAGCTTCCGTTCTCGGCGACTGAGGACAAGCTTCGCAAGCACTTTCATGAAGCCGGCGAGCTCAAGGTGCGCATGGCGACCGACAAGAAGACGGGCAAGTTCAAGGGCACGGCGTTTATTGAGGTCAAGGACAGCAAGGCGCTCGGCGCGGCGCTCTCGCGCCACCACAGTCTTCTCGACGGCCGCCGCATCAACGTCGAGCTCACAGCCAACGGCGGCGGCAAAAAGTCGGAGCTTCGCACGTCGCGCATCAAGGATCTCCGGGAGAAGCAGAGCGCCAAGCAGATTGAAAAGGTACTCGACTCCATCGTCCTCGCTCCGAATATGCTACATCGATCGCAGGTCCGCGCGCTCCTCCAAAAGAACGTCGACAACCCCGAGTGCAAGCTCACGCAGGACGACGTCGACGAACGCATGACGGACTTTCTCTCGTGGTTCGACTACGAGACGGCCAAGGTCGCACTGGAAGAGTTCAACCGCTGCGTCAACGAGACCGTCATGTACTGTCGCTTTGTTAGCTGCCGTCCAGATCTCATTTCTTATGTTTAGCAACCGCCGTGCCTTCTTTATGGGCATCCTCAAGCGCTTCCGCACGACGGACGGTGTCGAAGACCGTCCGGCCAAGAAGCCGCGCACCAACGACAGCAAGCCCGCGTACGGCAACAAGCCCGGCTTTGGTGGCAAGCCCGGCTTTGGTGGCAAGCCCGGCTTCAAAAAGCCCGCCTTCGGCGCGTCGAAACCGAGCTTTCGTCGCACTTAAATATATTGATTCGATTTCTTAGCAAGGCGAATATGATTGTGGTCGCGCACGTGGAGCTTGGCACAGAGCAATAGAATCGTGCGCTCGGCCGCTTGGCGCTGCCGCGCCTCGTCGCGGAGCTCGGCTTGAAGACTCGCGAGCTGACTCGTGACCTTGGCCGTCTCGGCTTGGACCTTGGCCTCCAACCGGTGCTGCAACGAGAGCGTCGACTCCATCGAGTACGTGGACGATGCTGGACTAAGCGACGATCGCGAGCAGAAGGATGACGTCGACCGAGATTGCCCCGACGACGACGCTGGCCGTCGCCCGACAATGGTCTGCACACGCGGCGTCACATCCGGAATGAGCGTGCCCGTGACGCCGAGCTTCATTCGCTGACCGCGCAGCCGCTTCATCGCGTCTGTCGGCGGGAGCTCACCGTCGTGCGCTTTCGTTTGGATGTCTTCTTTGGCGACGTGGCAGCGCCACAAGAGGTCCTACGCGATCCGGATACGGTGCGATCGAGGCCGTGTCTACCTGGTTCCACGGCGTATCGGCGAGCGTGCCCTTGTAAAACTTGGCCTGCTGCGTCGACGAGCCCCACGAGCACATGTCCGACTGCGTCTCTTGACAAGCGCCCGATGCGCTATAAATAGCTTGCGGCTCGTGACGTGGCAGCGTATGGGACAAGAGATCGCTAACGATGTTCGATGTGGGCGGTTCGACGGCAACGGCAACGCCGAGACGAGGTCGTAGCCTCAACGGCTTGTCGTGCAGAACGCAGGACCCGAGCTGGAAATGGCAAGTGTGATATGGCCGCGATAGGCACTCGTCGACTGAAGTAATCACATGGGAAAAGACACCGCCCATGGATACACCTCGTTGAGCGATGCGAATCTTCATGCTCTGTGAGCAGCCAGCGACACGGACAGTTGGAGCAGATATGTTCAAGGCCCGTTGCCGTGGTCGGATTGCAAGCAGTCTTGTGGCCGGCTGTGTTGCCGAGGACCGAGTGCACGGAGGCTTTTGCTTCTGCTTGGTGCGATACCATATCATGTACGAAAGATGGGTACTAGTAGTGGCAAGGCCAAAAATGTATGGCCTTGGTAGTAGTGTACTATGATATTACGGCACAACGCAGTTAGTTGGTCTTCTTGGCCGACGCCTCCTTGCGGGGCGTCTGGCAGTACGACTGGATAAAGAAGTGCATAAAGAGCCAGAAGAGCGACTGGATGTACACGAGGTACATGACCGAGACGTTCATGGGCACGCCGTCGCACTTCTTGGAGATGGTCATGTAGGCCTGGACGTTCATCATGACAAACTGGATGAGCTGCATCGTCGTGAGGTACTTCTTCCACCAGATCGTCTTGGTGTGCGCCGAGACAAAGTAGTACGTGTACATGATCGTGTGGATGAAGCCGTTGAGGATGATCGTGAGGTAGACATCGCCGTCGTAAAGCACGCGGATGTTGAGCCAGTAAAACGAAAAGATCGTCAAGTGGTGGTACACGTGCAAGAACGAGAGCTGCTTCCACTTCTTGCCGACAATGATGAAGAACGTGTCCATGAAATCGAGGATCTTCGAGACGTAAAAGAGCCACATGACGTTGCCCATGACCGGCTTGGCCACGTTGCACGCGTTGCACGGCAGGACCGAGTAGTCGTGGCGGTAGGCCTGGATGCCGGCCTCAATGCACATGTACGAGCAGAGCGCAATCTGGATCGGGTTGTACACAAACTGGAGCGCGCTTGTGTTCATGGCCGGGACACCCGCCTTCATGACGAGCGTGCCGACAATGACAAACGCGAGGTAGCCGAGCGCGATCGCGGCGGCGGTCGAAAAGTCCGTCATCGCCCAGTCCTTCGAGGGCGAGAGCTCGTAGCGGCCCGACGGGTCGGCCCACTCCAAGATGACCTTCTCCATCGGGCGCACGGCGGCGTCAAACTGCAACCAAAGGGCTTCCATCGTCGGCAGTGTCGGGCAAAACCAAGAGTGAGCTCGGGAGACAAATCCTCGGTCATCGTTGCGTTGGCGTGGCGTCTTTTTATTCAAATAAGTATACAAACATCAAGTTGCGAATGCGCAATGTAATACCGATTTCGCCCAATGGCATCGCACGGATCCGACTTTTTAGTGCACATACAAATACCAAGTACACAGATCATATTTTTATGCTACGATCCGACGATGCCATTGGCTGTTGCCGGATCGGTCCGCGATGATGCCACGTTCCCCTGACGATTGGGGACCAGAAAATGGGCCAATGAGAGAGCCATCCCGTGGATACCTGCCGTTTGATTGGTTCAAAAGCAGAGATGGGCGATTCGAATTTTAATAGAGGATATTTTATGATAATCAAACGTTTGTATGGAAGGAGGTGGTTTTCAAAAAAGAGCACTGATGATCTAGTTGAAGTGGGCCGTGACGTCATAATTTGCTGCTGGAAGCTCGCGCTTGACATCGAGGCCGTTGCCGCCAGTCATCCGATGGCCTGTCGACTCAACAGGCGCACGCGCCCAAGCAGCCCTTGACGAAGCACCTGACGTCGTTGTCTCGGATGCAAGCTTGAGGATGGGCAACGTAATCGAACCAACGTACTACTAGTACGTGCATAAAACAGCTCAACGTCGTTGGCGTCGCCAGGAAAAGGTATATTGGTGGTCCCAAACGAAACGTGGCGCGACCTGTCAAGGACACTTCTCTTTGATAGGGCTTGCACAATGATCGGCATGTGGAGAAGCTGCACGTTACGTTGCCGTAGCGTCAACACTCTGAATGGCGCTGTGGCGGCGTGTGACGCCGCTTGGGCTCTTGGGCGTGTGTGGGGCTTCCGTACCGTGTAAACTACAGTATGACCTCTGGCATGCAGTCGCAAGGCCATATCCACGTCAAACGCCTTCACACAGAAATGGTCTTGTGCCTAGCATTGGACATTCTTGGTTGAAGCTCACGAAGATGCTGGGATGACGGGTCAACCGCTGTCGTTATCATAGATCAGTACCAGTCCACTCTATAAGAACAATTGCAGCACCTCTTTCCACAGGGAGCAATGATTACGGCCATTCCGATCTGCTTGCTTGGAGCATGCGTCCTCGGCTGCGCGTTTGGTTTGTGCTTGGCCGTGACGTAAGACTTTCGTGTCTTCGTCATGCGTCTAGAAGAAAGCTTGGCGTAGCGTGCTGCAAGGTTATGTGTCCTACGGCACCAGCGAACACAGCTCTCGCTCATTGCATGGTCAGACACAGTAACAGACGAATTCGCTCCTTGCGTGATCGTGTATGTCTTCAGACGCTTGGCGAGCTTGTCAGCAACGCTTGTTTGGTCCCATCAAATGCACAGGTAGAACCACCTACTATAAGACACAAACGTCTCCTTGGTAGCGTCAAGACCGACGTCATTCTTCATATTCCTCTGCACCACAACGAACTCCTCACGCACCAGCATCGGGAGCGTGCGAGCGCTGCATTCGCGCCACAGGACAAGTCTACCTAGGGCTAGAATAGAGCTTGAGGACGCGGCATTGATTCTACCGACTGCCTCCAAGTGTACATGGTCCTCACACTAGCAACTAGACTATAACTGTACTATGACCTTGGTAGCACCGCCTGCTCGTATGTCGTGGGCTCAGCATCCGAAGCTATATATGCTTGTCATCCGAACGGCATGAGAACATCCGTCGAGGTCGAGAGAGTTGCTGCTACTTCTCGTGATACTCGCCAAGTCTCACCGCTTGCTTTCCTGTATATTGCGATCTTTAACCGGCGATGCAAAATCTCGCGTGTGATTGGATGGTCCATCCGGATACGAGCGACCTTGATGCTGGAGAGTTCGCTGGCCCGCGAGAATGAACCCGCAGGACCGCGCGCTGTGGGGCCTCCGGCCCTGCGTGAGCGCGTCCAAGGCCCGGGACATGCTCGCGCTCGAGGACTTTGCCAAGCTCTTCCGCAACGAGGTGCTCAACATGGTCAGCGCCTTCCTCGCCGACGTACGCGCCTGCCTGCCATGCCACTGACTCATGGCGTCGTCCTAGCGCCACTACTCGTTCGCAGGCTTCAAGGGCGCATGGAAGGCGCATGGCCTCTCGCGCATGTACCAGATCGACTTTGCCACGGTCGCGCGCCCCGAGATTGTCCACATGATGCTGCGCGAGGCCTTGGGTACATGCAGGCAGCGACAGGCGGCAGAGGTATGATGTACATGTCTAGGTCTCCTCATCGAGTCGATTCTTGCCTGCCGCCATGGCACACGCGAGCGCCAAGACCAGTACGTCGTCGACGCCTTGCGCCTCAAGGTGCTCGGCCATACGTTCACGCTCTACACGGTCTACCACTGCCAAAGCACGCCCATCAAGCAAAAGATCCTCCTCGACATTGGTACGCAGGTTGCTTCGTGGCATCGGTGCTCATGGAGCTTCCGTTAGAGTCGGCCATGCACATCTCCTTGGCGCAAACCTGGTGCGACGCCTGGGGCGTGCAGTACCCGGACGCAAGCCACGAAGCTCAGACCATGTTGGTGCGCTTGGACCGCGACCACGCCTTTCTTCGATGCATGCATGGGTACAGCTGGGTGCGCCGCGCGTCGTTCACCGCGCCGCCGCCGGCCGAGCCGGACGAGATCCCCGAGGTCTTGGCGCCCTTTGAGCCGCTGGAATTTGACTTGGCGCTCAAGCATCTCCACGCAAGCTACCAGGAACACATGAAGCCTTTCCGACCCAAGGTACGTTTGCATCTCCTCAACACACAGCGAGAAGACGCTGTGTTTTGTAGCCAGGCGCGCCCTCGGCCCGACTGGCTCGACCGACGATACGCATTCCGACGATGCCGCCCGCGCCCAAGCAAGACGAGCTCGATGCATTCATGGACAAGTTTGAGCAAGCATTTGAGGAGATGCGCGAGGCGGCTGCTGCGGCCAGTGGGTTGCCCATGTGCATGGATGGCTGCTGATGTTAACATGTAGATTTGGTGGAAGGCATGAACCTCGAAGCGCTGGCCTTTGGCGATATGCCCGATGCGGACGGCGTAAACGAGCTCCCCGCGTTTGACGTGCCAGACGACGCGGCATCCGAGGCATCCGAGGCACCCGAGACGAACGCTGACGACGATACGGCTGCCCGCGACGACGAGGTGGATCATGGTTTCGAGTATGAACCAGAGGACAACGGCATCGACTACGACGCTGATGACAACGGTATCGACCACGACAACGACGACAACGACGACGGCAGTCGCAGCGCGCAAGATGTTGCCGTAGCGTCCGTGGGCGCACTCCGACGCGAGGCCCTTCAGCAGCTTGAGGCAGAACTCGAGGCCGAGCTCGAAGCCGAGCCTGAGAGGCAGCCGTTGGCACACGGGACGAACGGTGGTGACGACGACGATGACGACGTTATGGGCATGCTGCTCTCGGACGGGTCCGATTCGGACGTCGACCAACACGCGCCGTCGACGCCCGAAGTGGCTGCTCAAGGGCTTGTCGCCATGAGTGGCGGTGGCACGCGAACCACGGATCCTGCGCCGCCGTCGGAACCGACACCAGTCAACGCGAGCGTCGTGCCCGAGCAAAGCGCCGCGAGTGCGGTACCGGTGGCCACAGACTTGTCGCTCTCGGACGACAGCGATGCCGCGCCGACAACGACTGCCTCAGCGGTGCCTCTTGCCGGTGATGACCGGAGGGCTCCGACCCGACTGGACTTGGACGCGGAGTTGTCCTTGTCGGACGATAGCGACGAGGCATCGGCGCCGCAAGTCGCCGCTGCCGCTGCGAGTACTCGTCCCCAAACGCCGTCAGCGGACCAAATGCCCAATGGAAGCATCGACTTGGACGCCGAGCTGTCCTTGTCCGACGACAGTGACGCCGCGCCAGTACCGCAAGTCGCCCCTGCCGCTGCGAGTACTGGCCCAGCGGACCAAAGGCCCAGCAGAAGCATTAACTTGGATGCCGAGCTGTCCTTGTCGGACGACAGCGACGTCGCACCGGCGTCGAAAGCTGTTGCTGTGACCCCTACTGGCAGTGACAAGCCGCCTCCGACCCGACTGGACTTGGACGCCGCATTGTCCTTATCAGAAGATAGTGACGAGGCACCGGCGCCGTTGCCCCTCACAACTGTCGTCACCAAAAATGTCGTGTCAAGACCGATGGCCGTGATCGATGGACCTATGTCGGGGGTTGCAGTCGCCTCGAGCACAGCGGCATCCGCCTTCAACTTGGACGCCGAGCTGTCGTTGTCGGACGACAGCGACGACGCAGACGCGCTTGCAACTCATTCCAAATCAGCAAGCGCCTTACCTCCACCTCTCGGTCGCGAGAACGTTGCGCTCGAGCCCAAAGCGACCAACCAATATCGCGTACCGTCGGTGGAGACCGTCAACTTGAGCGCAGAGCTGTCGCTTTCAGATGAGAGCGACGCCGCGCCGACGCCCGAGGCAACGACGACAAGAGGGATGGTCGTCAACGCCGCCATGCCTCCAGCGGAACGCGCGAATGCTCCGTCCGCAACGTTTGCCGTGTCCGCCACCGCCGCAGCCAACGTAGACCTCACCGCGACGCTGTCATCCGGTAGTGACGGTGCTGCAAGAACGAGCACGGGAACCAGCTCGCCACGACAACGCGCGGCTGGCGTGATCGACAGTCATGCGACCTTGTCACCCTCCGAGAGCGGCGAAGCTCTCGTGTCGCAGCCCAATGCACCCGTCGCGGTCAACCTCGACGCCGCGTTATCTCTCTCTGACGACAGCGACGCGGCGCAAGCATCAGCAGAGCCTGTCGAAGAAGTCGTCGCGTCGCAAGAAGCTGTCTCCGCAAACGACGAGCCCGCAATCTCGGTAGCCAGCCCCAACACCGTCGTTGAGGCAGCAGCGCCTAGCTCAGTGGTCCCTGGCAGTGAAACTATGGATGCGACCGCGTCCGTCTCAATAAGCAACGCGGATCGATCGCAACCGAGCGTCTCGAGCACCCCACGACAAGGCCTCGCGACGTCTGGTTCACCGGCGCGAGCGGACAACAACGAGAGAGCGTCGACGCCGACGCGCCGACCAAAGTCGACACCGGTACCGGCGCGGTCGTACATTGCTGTCGACGCAGTCGACTCATTGCCGGCGTCTTCATCATCATCATCGTCGCCATCGTCGTCGTCGTCGTCGAGCTCCTCGGACTCGGACGACATGCTGGTAGCGGATCTCGAGCTCGGCGTCGTAGAGGCCAACGACATGGCACCCATCATTGAGTTGCATGCAGCGGCGGCTTTGGATTCGGTCGAAGCGCAAGCAGATGCTACTGGCCACGGTACGCCGGCCCCGCACGACGACGAAATCGCGTGCGGAAGCTCCGAGGGGAGTGCCGACATCTCGCTCTCGGACGACGACTCAGAGTTTTCCGACGATGGCTACGAGAGCGACCGCCGCCCGATCGAGCACGAGTACGCACCGGACGTTGCGCTGGTGGACGCCCCGATGAACTACTACTCGTCCAGCACCGCCACCGAGTACTCGGACATTGAGGTGGCTGAAGTACCCGCCTTTGCACCACACGCCTCGTTCGAGCTACCGTCGCGGCTCGTCGTTGAGGACGTGCGGCCGGTCGTTGAGAACGTGCAGCCGGTCGTTGAGGACGTACAGTCGGTCGTTGAACAAGTGCCACCGGTCGTTGAACAAGTGCCGCCGGTGGAGCGCGCGGATGTAGCCCCGCCGATGTTTGTTCCGTACAGCGGCGTCGATCACACGGGCGCTCGCATCCCCGGGACACTGCCATCATCGTCGTCGGAAGCAGACGAAGAGGATGAAGAGGATGAGAATGATGAATACGACTTTGGCGGCGGTTTGTCGGGTGATGACGGACCCAACGGTGCGGATCCGGTGCCCGACGTCGGCGTCGAAGAAGTGGCGGCCGTGTCAACGGTACCCGCAGACACCGCCGATGTCGCCGCGGCAAGCCACTCGCCGCTTCGCCCGCTTGACGTTGCAGCGGTGACGACCGCAACGCCGTCGACGCAGGTGCCCGAAGCAAGTCCGCTGCCAGAGCTCGAGTTTGTGATCCAAGTGCCGGCGCTCCCACGGTTGGCCCATCTTGCATCGCCAGTGATTGGCTACGGCGATGCGAGCGGTCATCCGCGCGACGGCTCGGACAGCAGTAGCAGTGACGACGACAGCAGCAGCGACGACAGCAGCTCGAGCTCTTCATCGGCAGTGTCCGTGGCGTCTCGGCGGTCACACACAAGCAGTACTGTCCACGCAAGAACACTGTCGGAGCCCCAAGCACCGTCCCGGCCACCGACAACCATGGCAGCATCTCGGGGTGTCGCACCGATGCATTCCAAGACTGCTCCATCGTCGGCCGTCAACTTGAACGCAGACCTGTCGCTGTCTGACGACTCGGACGACGATTTCGCTGCCGAGCTTGAGCAAGAGACACTACCCGTGGCATCGCCAGAGCGACAGCAAGGGGCCGCCGGTAAGAAGGCAGTTGCGCCGTCGACGAAGCGTGTTATTGAACCTCCGCGCCGATTAGCAAGCGTGGCCAAGGCAGCGACAAGCGCATCACGTCTCAACTTGGACGCCGCTCTCTCCTTATCCGACGACTCAGATGCGGACTTTGCCGCCGAGCTGGAGGCCGAGACCGCCGCAAAGTCGCCAGTGACGACCCCGCGGCGTGTGCCAGCAACCGCAGCAGCCTCGTCATCTACATTCAACTTGGACGCGGAGCTCTCGCTCTCCGACGACTCAGACTTTGCCGCGTCTCTTGAGCGTGGCAACGTCAAGAAGACACCAGTGGCGACCGCACCGTCAGCTTTGAATTTGGAGGCCGAACTCTCGCTGTCTGACGACTCGGGCGATGCGCACAAAGCGCCACCGGCAGGCGCCAACGTGGCGTCCGGCGCTGTTGAGAGCAGCGACTCGGATGCGTCGTTTCTCGCCGAGCTGCATCGAGACAGTCCGCCGCCGCCGCCAGCCAAGCGAGGTCGTGGCCGCCCGCGAAAGCAGCCTGTAGCTTCGATGGGTACTCCCGTGCGCAAGCGGCCGAGCCCAAGTACCGAGAAGCCCAAGCGCGGAAGAAAGCCGGGGAAAGCAAAGTCGCCTCCACGCTCTGCGCCAAGCAAAGTAGCCCTCGATGAGGAACTGGCTCGGGAGCTCATGGCAACAACACCACGTATCCAAACGGCCGCGTTGGCAGATACGCTGTCGGAGCTCGAGGACGAACTCGAGAGGGAGCTCATGGCGCTGCCACCGCCATTGGTTGCGCCACCGAAGGAGCGCCTGCGTGCACCACCCGTGGTCGACCGCCGCAGCACACCCGTCGCCCGCGTAGCGTCGACGGCAATGGAGGACCGATTTGCACCTGTCAAGACTACGCCGTGGAAGGTCTCGGGCGCGGCCCGGCCACCGCGACTCGGTACTGCGGCCCCTCCACCGTCGACGTCGCCCGGACCCGTGCAACCTCCTGTCGCATTGGCGCCTCCACCGTCGACAGCGCCAGTAGGACCGGCTATCGCGTCGACGCCAACGCTGTCGACCCCTCGCCCGGAGGCAACGTCGATCGCGTCGACGGGCGTTCCTCGAGCTCCGGTGCAAGTGCAACTGGCTGCCACGGTACCGCGTCCTGTGCCGGTGGATATGTCGCAGCAGCACGTCAGTCAACCACCGAGTCCTACCGCCGCCCGATTGCCGCCTAGCCAACGACAGTTGCCGGCTGTGCCTACACCGTCCGTGTCTCTACCTTCACAGTCCGTGCCTCGACCGGGACCGCCTCGACTCGGACCATCGCAACCTCTGCCAGGCCCACCTCGACTAGGACCTTCGAAAGCGCTTCCGGGACCTCCTCGACTGGGTGGCGTGGGTCCGCCACAAGCCGCTGCTTCGCGACCGGTGCCCGCCCCTCGAGCACCCGCGCCAGTGGTATCTCGACCGACAAATCCATCCGTCGATCGCGGCTCGATTACAAAGGCTGTCGTGCAACCGACGTCGCAGCGCGCACCGTCGGAACCGGCGACTGCGCCGGTCGTGCGACAGCCACCAGCGTCGTCAACTGTCCGACCAACGTCAGTGCCACGACGCCCGGCGGCATCGGCGCCACCTGTGACGACTGTCCCGTCGTTTGTGCAAGCCATCAAGAAGATGGGTGCAACGGCTCGACCGGTGGCCGCCACGGCTACCGAGGATACGTCCGATTCGGATGGTCTTGATGCACTTGAAGCCGAGCTTGGCGTCACAAAAGCTGCGCCCGTGAAACGAAAAGCACCGACGCCGGCACCGACGCGCGTCGTCAAGCCACGACCAACGCCAGCATTGACGCGGACAGCTCCTGCTGCAACACCTCGGACTGTTGTCGCTGCAACGTTGCCACAGCGCGTCGACGGCAGTGACGACGATTCCGACGGTTTGGGTGCTCTCGAAGCGGAGCTTGGATTGAAGCGGTCGACGCCGGTGCTGCCTCCGCCCAAGGCCCGAGCAGCACCAAAGGCCCGAGCCGCACCAAAGGCTCAAGCAGCGCCAAAGATCCGAGCAGCGCCAAAAGAACCCAAGCCTCGAAAGGCGCCGGTACGCAAGGCCCCCGAGCAGCGCAAGCCACGTGTGCCGGTTCAGGCCGTCGTCTCAGAGGACTCGGATGGACTTGACGCGCTAGAAGCGGAGCTTGGCCTTTCGTCCGCCGCTGCAAAACCAGCTCGCAGCGTCAAGAGTGCACCGCGACAAGCGCCAGCGCCTCGAACGCCGGTCGTGGTGCAGCCGATGACGGTCGCATCCGACTCGGATGGTCTTGGCGACCTTGAAGCCGAGCTCGGGATTGCTCCAACGGTAGTAGTCGTGCAGAAGAAGCGCGGTCGACCTCCAAAGGCCAAGTCGTTGGGCGCCAGTAGCAGTGCCGACGTCAGTGCGCCAAAGAAGCGAGGACGTCCGCCAAAGCCAAACCCTCTTACGACACCGATGACGGTCGGAACGACACCGCCTGCCGTCCCGCAGCCCAAGAAGCGCCTGCCCAATGCCAACACAGCACCGGCGCCTGCAGCGCGAGCTGATGTCTCGGACTCGGACGACGATGGTCTGGATGCGCTGGAAGCTGAGCTCGGTCTCCCGTTTGCGCCCCAAGGTCGACCAGCGACGACGGCAACTCCGACTGCCCGAGCCCCAACGAAGCGCCCACTCAAGACCACGTTGTCGTCACTGCCTTTGCACGAAAATGACAAAGGGCTTGCGGCTCTCCAAGGCGAGCTTGGGACGCCATCTCGGAAGCGAAAGCTACCGACACCAGCACCTGCGCGACGGGTGAAACCAAAGGCAGCTACGAGCCGGGTCGCCAAGACGCCAGCGTTAGCCAAGACGTCAGTTCCGGCACTTAGGACACCAGCGCCAGGACCCAATGCGCCAGCTCCAACAGCAGTCGACTCGGACGACAGTGGTCTCGATGCCCTCGACGCCGAGCTCAATTTGTAGTTTTAGCACATGATGACACAACACAATTTTGCGATCTTCCGAGGCGCGCACCGATTGGCTGAAATACTGTCTAATACGTGTCGCTGATTGGCTACCTTGAACATCGCTTTTGCAACAGGCGACGATGGCGCTGGTCCGGCGGCCGAGCATGCTGACGATGCGGTCGGGCGCTGCGACCAACATCCTCATCGAAGTGCGCTTGTCGCTTCATGCCTCCTAGCGTCTCATGCGTGCGCTAGGTCAAGCAGAAAACCCGGCGGTCCCTCGATGCGCTCGAGCGCCAGTATGGCGAGTGTACGCCGACCTTGCTGTCGTGGTCCATGGCTCACGTCGCGCTCTAGTCGACATTAACATTGCGGACCAGCTTGGCCAGCTCTCGCTCTACTGCATCATGGGCGGCGAGTACGACGAGGCGCTGCCGCTGCTCCACCGCAAGCTCGTCATCCATGAGAAATTTGGGCCTGGTACGCGCTTCTCGAATTCAAGGGCATGGCCTCCTGACGCAGCGTAGACGAGAGCATTGGCGACACGTACCAGCAGCTCGGGACTACGTACCGCCTGTACGCCAACTATCTCTTGGCGGCGCAGCATTTCGAGAAGGCGCGGAGCCATCGCGAGCGGCTCTACGGGACGAACAGCGCCAAGGTCGCCGAGACGCTGAGCAGCCTCGCGGTCCTGCACCATTGGTACGACTGGAATCAAAACGGCGGTGATTGTACTATGGAAATAGCCAGGGCAACACGGCCGTGGCAGAGGACTACCACACGCAGAGCCTGGTTGCATTTTACGAAAGCACCGAAGAAGAGGACGTGCAGAGCGAAGAGATTCCGTGGGAAGTGTTCAAGCGGCTCCGGCAGCAGCAGACGCACCCGCCGTCGACAGCGCAAAACAGCATGACGCTGCTGAAAGGCACTATCCGCAAGACGATCCAGGCAGCGGTGCTTCAGGAAACGACGGCGCCACCCGTGTCGTCGACGTCCATAGCAAGTGCGGACGATTTCGAGCCGCCAAAGCTGCGCATGCGGTCGCTCTCCGACGGTGCGCTGCCACTGCACACCCCACCCACGTCGTCCAACGGCGCGACGGACCGCCCCAAGGTCGCCCAGCTCCTCAAGAAGCAGCTCTCGACGTCGTTCGACAGCACGATAGTACCCGATTCGCCCATGGAAACAAGCCAAGGCCACTTCCCCGAGACAACGCACGAGCCGATCACGAGCTTTCCGGTGCTCGTCGAGCGCGTCGACAGCGTCAAGCGCAAGCACGCATCAGGGCTCGGGTTCCCCGGCATTGAAAGGGAGATGAACCGCCTCGCGTGTGACATTGGGCTCATCGCTGCCGGCGACCTTCGCCAAGTGGGCCTGCTCATGCTCGGGCTGCTCCAAGACACGGTCAAGCTCAGCAGTCAGCTCGATCAGAAAAAGGTACCCCATGTGCTGTTGAATGGGTCGTCTGCAAACAGCATGTAGCTCCCCGTGCTGGAAGGGTATTTGGAGAAGAAGAGCTCGTCGATCTTTCGGGGCTGGGAGCGTCGGTGGTTCAAAGTCGATACGCGGACGCTCGTCATGACGTACTTTCACTCGAAAGAAGACCAAATGCGCGGGTTTGCACCCCGTGGCAGCTTTGCGCTTTCGCGAATCACGCACCTCGTGACCCACACCCACCTCCGGTGCTTTGACTCTGTGCAAGAGCTCTACTGAATGCTATGGGTTTAGGGGTAATCGGTATGCGTTCGATATCGTTGTCGACCTGGGCACGCGCGCCAACCCGCATGCGACGCGGACGTTTGAACTCCGTTGCGAGTCGGAAGCCGACCTCAAGTACTGGGTCGACACGATTGAAAAGTACCAGGCGTTCAGCCGCCGCACCTCGAGCAATGCGACCGCGCTGCCACCGCTCCCGCCGTCCCCACCGACGTCGCCACCCACGTCGCAGAATTGATCGTTGTACAAGAGCAAAGATCGCTACTCAAATGCATGTCGTACAGCTCTTGTGTTGGTTGGCGTCAAGGTCGTCGGGAGTACTATCGCAAACTCCAGTCGCCACGAAAAAGGGCGGCGCATCCATCACCACCGATATCTCCTCGCACCGAAGAAGAAGCTGATCGAGCAGCCAGTCTTTACAGAGTGAGTTAGAGGCAGTTGCTGCATGAAGCGGGGGCGGCGGGACTAGTATATGTCTATCAAGTACATATCCTGCTCTGTGTCGAAGGCGAGGAGAGAGCAATTGCGTTCATTCTACTAGTACAAGCGACCACCAGAATGACTAGAATCAGCAGAACATCTGGATCTGGATCTCGTGTTCCAGAGGACGAGATGGAGCCAGTCGGTGCGGTGCCGTACTCATGGGGACAGTATGTCGTACACCTACCCCTCACAAACAGATGGACGAACGCCATATCCAGAGCTGAATGATCCAGATCACAAGGATCTTCTTTACATGCAAGGAGACGACGATGCTTGGACTCATTTTCCAATTTCCTCGATGGTGGCCATCTACCTTCCCAGCATCCTTGCACTCGCGGCTGTCGCACTCGCTGCTCAAGAGGCACCGGCCGACGCCATGACCTTCAAGAGACCCGACGACTGCGACGACAACCGTGGTGGCGGCGGTGGCTGGAACTCGGGCGGCGGCTGGAACTCGGGCGGCGGCAAGTGGAACGGCGGTGGCGGCGGCGGCGGCTGGAACAATGGTGGCGGCGGCGGCTGGAACAATGGTGGCGGCGGTGGCTGGAACAACGGTGGTGGTGGCTGGGGTAAGCGCACTCCGTGCCCGCAGCCCGGCCCTAACCCCGGCCCCAACCCCGGTCCTCAGCCCGGTCCCAACCCAGGTCCTCAACCCGGTCCCAACCCAGGTCCTCAGCCCGGCCCCAACCCCGGTCCCCAGCCCGGTCCCAATCCCGGTCCCAACCCAGGCCCGCAGCCCGGCCCGAACCCCAGCCCTTACAACCCGCCCGCCCCTGGTCCTCAGCCCGGTCCCGGCCCGCAGCCTGGTCCTGGCCCGCAGCCTGGTCCTGGTCCTCAACCCGGCCCTGGACCTCAGCCTGGTCCGGGCCCGCAGCCTGGTCCCGGTCCTCAGCCTGGCCCGCAACCCGGTCCTGGCCCGCAACCGTACAGTCCCGGTGTGACGCAGGGTGCATCGTGGCAGCGCAACCTTCGCCAGAACTAGTCATTTGTCGGCAGATCCTTTGTGCTCTTTATGTTTCTCATCACTCGTTGTAATTCATCAACCTTTTTCTACAATCTCTTGCACATTGACACAACAGCTCGACCTCATTTTCTGCTGCGAAGACAATGCTTCCACAAACAAAAATCGCTGGATCGGGGTGCACCCACTAATTTATCAAGAAGAGAGCCAACGCAATAGCCAGAATACACACCATTCGCCTTCTAGAATTGCATGTTGGAAACCAGTCTGCAGAGTTGCAGCACCAGCTCGAGTTGCAGTTCAAGTCCCCGTCGTGACGCCCGAAGCAGTCGCCGCCACCCGCGCCGCGCTCTTGGCCGAGCTGCATCTTCACCACTTGCTGCTGAATACCCAAGCGATGTGCCTCTTCCAAATGATGCACGCCCTGCGCCACGACGCCTGGCTTCGTGACCACTTCGTCCCGGCTTGCGCCATCCATACGCCTCGCGTTCGACACGGCTAAGCCTCGCCGCTGCTGCCGTCTAGCACAACACGCTCGGAATCGAAAGTCCACCGCCAAAACAGTTCAGTGTAAATTATACCTCAACAGACTCACTTCAACAACAACCGCTTGTCAATTGAGAGCCCACCGAGAACCCAGAAGAGGCCATCGCCATCGCATCACCAAACCCTCAACAGCTGTGCGAAAAGTATCTTGGCCGTTGCATGGGTCGTGCGTGAGCTCTGGGTGCACAGCCTGTCCTTCTGCGAGAACCTTGAGCTCCGTGCGATCTACTTGACGTGCTTGATGTCGCAGTGTGCCAGGTTGCATGGCTGCACTGCACCTAGCATCATGTTGATGACGACTTCGGAAGCCGTCGACGTATCGTCGCCGAGAGAAGGTGCAGTCAGTTACAGTTTTGGTGGGGTCCTACTGAATTTATATTCCGTAAATTCAATGTATACTTGTATTTTCAATCCAAAGGTACGATTGTATTTTATGAGGGCGACCCGGTGGAGGGCATCGTTCTTTGAACATCGCATCAAAATATCTTTGGCCCGATGCGACGCCTATGGACCGTAGTCGCGCTCGCCCTCGCCGTCGGCGCCTCGACCAGCCGCGTGCTCAGTGACGCAGATGACATCGTCGACACGGTCCCGAAGGACGTCTCGTGTACAAAGGTCAAGAAGTGCGACGACAACAACGAATGCGTCCTCGTCTGCGACCGCGGGTCGGTCGAGATCGACCCGTGGGCCGCGCACGCGCTCAAGCTCCAGCGTCGGCTCGCCTACACGCACTCGCTCTGCCACGCGCAGCTCCCAGGCTCGCACAACTCGGCCATCAACATGGTTGACGTACGCTTCTTCGAGCGGCCTCGCTTTGTGCTCATTCCGCCGTGTTGTCTAGGGCTACGGCGTCGAAGACCACGTCTTTGAGGGCATCCTCAAGTACTTTCCGTGGTTCACGAGCAACCTCGTCGTGCACACCAACGATCAGGTACCCATTGCGTCAATGTCTCGCGACGTCTCATCCTGCGCGACTAGCTCTTTAGCATGACGGACCAGTTGCGCATGGGTGCGCGCTTCATGGAGCTCGACGTGCACTGGGTCGACGACGATCTGCGTATTGCGCACTGTGGCGGCTTTGACTCGTCCGTCCTCGATGACTTTGTCTCGGGTATCAACGCGATCGCCAAGCTCCTCGGCATGGAGATCCAGTGGGACTCGGAGACCGTTGGGTGCAAGCCGTCGCTGAGTAGTATCCCCGCGCACCAGCAGCGTCCGGCCCTGCACGCGCTCCAGGAAATCGCAGACTGGGTCCATGCGCCAGGTAGACAATATGACACTCTGTCCATCGACACGACCCTGTAACACACTAGGAAATGCCGGAGAATTTGTCCTCATCTACTTTGACGATCAAATCAACCTTCTCAAGTGGCACAAGGTCGAGCTGCTCCTCGACTACATCAAGCAAGCGTTCGCCGTCGACGAGATTCTCAAGCCCTCTGACGTGCAGGTACTGCATCTTCTATGCTCGTCCTCCATCCTATCCGTGTTCCTGCGGATAGCACGGTGCGAGCTGGCCCACGTATGAAGCGCTGCTTGCCTCCGGGAAGCGCGTCGCCTTTCTCTCGGTCTCGGACTACGCGCCGATCGGCGACGAACTGCTCTTCCACAAGTACGCGCTCTGTGGGTGGCAAGAACCCGACTTGCCATTCACGCCGTACCCTGCGTGCAGCTTCAAGAACTGGAAGACGGGCACGATTGTCAACGACCACATTCTGTTTCGCCCCGAGACGAGCGAGATCCAGTACGGCTTTATCAACGCCGACGGCCACGTCGGTCCGAACGAGTTCCTCATCGACAACGCGCTCTTGCCGCGCCTCATGGAGTGCAACGTCAAGATCCCGTCGCCCGACAATTTGACGCCCAACCGCATGGCCGCCATGATCTGGTCGTTTGCAGAACACGAGCCTTCCGACGTTAGCGCGTGCGTGGCCATGCCCCGGCGCTCAACCGCTCGCTGGTACTCGCATGATTGCACCGCCAGCCGTGGCTTCCGCCCTGCGTGCTACACCAATGCGACGGCCGAGAGCTCGTTTGCGCACTGGACGCTCGGTGACGTCTCGGACGGCCACCACGTCACGTGCCCGAGCGGGTACACGTACGGCGCGCCCACGAACGGGTATGAGAACCGCGTCCTCTTTGACCTGCTGTGGAATGACAGCCCGGCGACAACCGCGGGCATTTGGATCAACGCCAAGCCATACATGGACCACGTCGACGGCATGGCGCCCGTGTATGCGTACGACCAAGCCCGCCTCGCGACGTGAGGTTCGAACCGGATATGTTGACGTCGCCATTGTTTTCTTTTAGTGAATACAACTCTACTTAAGTGTACGAGCATGTGAATCAGGCGCGGCATGACAGGGGTCACCACTGGCGTAAAAGGGCGGCAACGTGGACACCTTGTCCTTCACAGGATCAATGTATCAAGTTGATGTGAAAAATAAGAAAGCAAAGAATAGAAAAATAGGAGATAAAAGGAGCTGAAACGACCGACACGAAAGGATGGCCTTTGCGGCGGCGCTTCACTCGGCGTACGAAGCGCGTGCGTCGCACTTGGACTCGGACGAAGTCGCGGGCATTCGCTCGGTACGTGGTTGTGGCGTAGTGACGAGATGACGAGAAGCCTCACCTGCTAGCTCTTTACCTACTATGACACCAACATGGACGGCAACGTCTCGTCGGTGCAAGCCCTGCGCATGTTCCAGCTCGTAAACACTGCCTGGTGAAAATGGCGTTGAAGAAATGCTCGCATTAGCTCGGGCTCACGGTCAACGAAGAGCATGTGAACGAGCTCGAGCTGCTCTCATTCGCAGGTACGACGCACGAGTGAGCCAAATGCGACGACAAATGACTCGGTAGAGTTTCTTGCGATTGTCGACTGCCAGTACAAGGCAGCGCGCAGCCTCGACGAGGGCAGCCACGAGTGGCACCTCGTGGACCATTTCCGGCGCGATTACGTCACGCCGCACCAGCTCACCTACTTTTTGATGAGCTGCGAGGCGACCGTGTCGGCGCCACACCTCGAGCGCTTCCAGGATCTGTACGCCAAGTACTTCTATCTACTGGCACGATACTTGGCTCTCAGAACGACTAGTGCGGACGAGTCGAGTGCGCGCTTTCGCTGCTTGGAGAAGGACGGGTGTCTCAAACTCCTCAGAGACTTTCATGCGCCCGAGACCGACCACGACGACGCATTGCTTGCACGTGAAAAATGATCAATGTTTCAAGTGTTCATCCATGTCTACGGCGCTTTGTGGCGGCGGCGCGCCGTGGACTTGGATTTCTTCTTCGACGTCCGCGGGTTCGCGCTGGGTTTGGCTGGGCTTTGGGCCGGCGACGCCGACGGCGACAGTTGCTGGAGGAAGCGCGTGAACCCTTCCTTGTCAAAGACGAGCGGGTCCGCCTCGGTGCTAGGTTGCATTTCGTAAGTGACAAATGTATGACAAGTTGTACATGGTCGAGTTGGACTGCTGCGCGAGAAAGTCGAGGATCGTCTCTTGCGGTACGTCCAGATTGCACGTTCGCAAAAACTCGTGGAGCTGGTTGTACGAGATCGTCGCTTCTTCCCGGGGCTCGGTTTCCGAGACTTCGATCGACGTTGTTGTTGTCTGCGCTTCAAGCGTACGCATAAACTCTAAGCACTCTAACTCGACGACTCGGATGCACTCAGTAATTTGTACCGTCGAGAGGGACATCTTCGAGTCGCTGGATCTGCACCTCAGTGAGGTCCAAGCCGAGCTACAAGGGAAATTTTGGGTATCGACGAGAAATAGCTATGGCGTACGAGCTTGAACACTTCGCGCGCTTGGTCGGGCGAGAGGTTGACGTCGTCGGCTTCGTTTTCAAAAAGGTGCATAAACTACCCCAATGTCATCAACATTTTAGTCGAAAAGGCCACGGGTTACCGAGTCCATGATACGGGAGGTGGGCAGGATGTGCTTGGCGCAAGGGCAAAGGAAGTGTGGCTTGCTGTAGCTGGCCGCAACCGGGGATCTTCGATGTTTTACCTTGTCCCGTCGCGGGAGATGTTCGTTTTTCGAGCGCTTCAACGTAAGGTTTATCGTGACAGCGTATTGGCCCGCGTTCTTAAGCTTCGACGAAGCTTTGACACGGACTGGGACCATTCAGGGCCGTCGGATACGTCCTGTGACGATCTTGGCATTATCATTCTCTCATTTTAGCCAATCCATATCTTGAAGGCTCTGGATTGGTGGAAATGCGTTGACATGCAATCTCCACTGACCAATCGCAAGGCTCGACCACTTTGCACCACCGGCTCGCAATTGCACGATGCGATGCGTTATCGGCACCGAGGTACGCTACCTATGCCGTAGGCGGAGACTACCTCCATAGGTCATTATCGCATATCGCTGCTATGAAATAACGACGCCCTGTTGACGTGGTCGCAAACGAAATTTGAATATGATTTTGACCAATCACCGTGCAGCGCGATGGGATTGGCCAAAATGCAAAGGATTTCCGCATGAGCAGCAGCGTGAGCAAGAAGGAAGCGAAGCGGCTTGAGAAGAAGCGGCAGCGCTCCGAGAAGAAGGCTGCGCTCGTCGCCGACGGAAGCTGGACGAGCAACCGGAAGCGGCGAGGCCAGCGCGAGTTCCATAGCGAGATGCGGGATGACATAGAGGTCATGGTGGCCGAAACGACCGCGCATACGATGCCCGACGGCTACCGCCACGTCGCGCCGTACGAGCACACGTTCCAGGTGCATGTCAAGGCGCGCTGGTTCGGCAAGAGCCTCTTGGACCTCTTCTTGCTCGAGTTTGGCGGCTTTGACGTGTCGTACTACACGCAGGCCATTACGACCGGCAAGATCACAATCAACGGCGCCATCGCCGCGACAACGACGCTGGTCCGGGATGGCGACTACCTCGAGCACCATGTACGAGCTCTATTGCTGACGTGCGCAGGATGCAGAGCTAGCGTAGATGCACCGGCACGAGCCGCGCGTCCGGTGCTTTCGCGCCAGCATGATCGAGTACGAAGACGACGACATGGTACAGCGCCATCAAGACCATGATGATTCTAGCTCGGAGTTGCCTAGGTCGTTGTCAACAAGCCAAGCACGATTCCGGTGCACCCGTGCGGCGCGTACCGGCACAACTCGATGGTACGCATGTTGTCCTAGCGTAGCGTGGACGCATACTCGATCCTTAGACGTTCATCCTGGCGATCGATCATCAACGCCACCCGCTGTACCCCGTGCACCGCCTCGACCGGCTCACGTCCGGTACGACACGCCAACTTGCATGTCGATAGCACTGTTAACATAGGCTTGCTCGTTCTCGCCAAGTCGCCCGAGAAGGCCCAGACCATGTCCGAGCAGCTCGTGGATCGAAGCATGCAAAAGCACTACGTGGCCAAAGTTGCCGGTCGGTTCCCGAATCCCGACCGTGACGCGACGTCGTCGTCCTTGTTCCCGTCGTTTGGTATACCGTGCACCGCGGCTACGGTTGCCTTCAACTGTCTAAAGTAGATGGCGTCGTCACGGTTGCAGAGGACCGATGGACGCCCTACTGGAAGGTCGATGCGCCGCTCAAGCGCATCTCCGAGAGCGAGAACCGGCACGGATATGCGCCAGATGGCAAGGTAATAGCGATGGTTAAGACTTCAGCTCACGTGCGACGCGGTCACTTGATGTAGGCGAGCCAAACCCTCATCCGAGTCCTGACCGCCTCCGATGAGTACAGTGTTCTCGAGTGCCTCCCGCTCACCGGTCGCCAGCACCAAATCCGCGTGCATTTGCAATTGCTCGGGTTTCCCATCGCCAACGACCCGACGTACGGCCCACCGTCGTTTCTGGCGTCGATTCCTCTCAAGCGACCTCTGCCCACGACGCCAGTGACGCACGACGTGCTGTGCCCCACGTGTCGGGACGGCGAGGCCGCCTCGTTTAACTGGGAGCAGCTCGAATGCCAAGGCTTGTGGCTTCACGCCTACCGCTACAAGGTACCGTCTTGTCGATTGCCACAAAAGTATCAACGTATCAAGTAGGGCGCCGCGTTTGATGTGCGCGTGGCGCTGCCTGCGTGGGCCCCCGCCAATGTCGTTCTGAATCAAGGATAACGCGACGACGACAAGGTGTCCAACATGACGAGGAATTCGTGGACTAGACTAACAACAGCAATGTACTACGACTCTAAAAGGCGTCGCGGAGCACGGGCTTCTTGGCGATGCGGCGCGGCGACGGCGGCGGCGTGTGGCTTTCGTCCATGGACGAGAGGCTCTCGATGCGGTCGAGGCGCGGCCCGACCGCGTCCTTGGCCATAAAGGACGACGACCCGGTGTTGGAGCTTGAGAAGCTGTGGTACTGGCTGTCGTCGAATGCATATTCGCAAAAGAGGCGCGAGGCGTGGATCGCCTTCTTCTCGGTATTGGCCCAGAGCACTTTGAGGAGGCTGTTGGGGTCTGTCGAGGCTTTGAGCGCGAGGACGTTCTTCTTGTTGGGCATCGCGATCGTCTCGACGAGGAGGCAGTCGCGCACGTCGCTGAGCTCGACGTTGCTATAGCACATGAGCTCGTCGTACGCCACTTGGTGCAGGTTGATGTCGATCGCAAAGCTCGTCTGCGGCTCCATGTAGCCTTGGTTCGGTCGGACCTTGTAGCGCTGCGGCTGCGCCGTCTTGATCTTGAAGGCGACGCAGTGCGACGATGTGTTTTGCAGCGTCACCTTGCCCGTGGGCTTCTTGCCCACGTCCAGATGGTACAAGAGCGTTTGGGGCGAGAGGCTCACGAGGCCGGTCGGCGTCGGCGTCGACACGGCATAGTTCTTCTCGAACGCGCGCAAGAACGACTTCATCTTCTTGGGCGGCTGCTCGACGTGGCGCGCGTCAAACTCGGACTGCCGGATCCACGCTTCGTCCGGCATCTCGAGGTGTGCGGGTTCGTCTGGCGTCTCCTTGAACGCAAACGTCTTGAGAATCGCTTTCGGGAAGAAGCTGCGCCCGCTGCCTTGGCGCACCGGCTCAAGCTCGCCAGTCGACGACTCGAGGACCGACGCGAGCTCGTGCTCGTCATCGGCGTCGGCGGTGGCCGTTGCATCGGCGGGTTCGGGGAAGGTCAGAATCGAGAACCCCGAGTTGGCATCGTCGATCGTGTGGGCCTTGGACGACGGGCTCGACGGACCGTCCACGTCGGCGTCGGGTTCGTCGACAGCAATCACTTCGGGGTTGGTGACCGGTGTCGTCGGCACCGGCGCCTCGACGACCGACGCCCTGTCCTTGTCATGGTCGTCGGCGTCGTCGTCGTCGTCGTCGTCGGTCGTTTCTTGGATGACAACGACAGGGCGCGTTGGGAGTGTGTCAATGTCACCAAAGAGCGACACGGACGCCCGGGGCGACGACGGCGCCGGCGACAGCGGACCCATAAAAGACGCAAACGCGCTGTCCACCGTCATGGACGACTCGCTCGTCAGGTCCTCACGCACATGCAGCGACGACCGCGGCGTGTTCATGTTGATGGCGACAGCGACCACCGGCGACGCCATGATGTTGACGTCATGACGCGGTGACAATGACGACGACGTTGGCATCGGTGCCCACATGACCGGTGCCGGCGGGTGCACGACGGGCGCGGCCACAACAGGCGGTGGCGGCACCAGCGACAGCGACGGCTTGGGCTTGGCCGGCGCCGATACCGGCATGTACTTGGAGGCAAGAATGTCAATGTCGTCCAGGCTAAAGCGGACGCTGCTCCGGCGCGGACTCGCACTCGCCTCGGCAATGGTCTCTGGCATCGGGAGGTACTCGACGTGTGCGACGGTATCCCGATTCGCAACTGTGCTGCTGCGCGCGTCGTACTCGGTGGGTCGCGCAATGCTCACAGGCAGCGGCTCTAGGTCATCATGCTTTTCTTCTTCCAAGACGTCGTCCATCGACGCCAAGAGATCAATTTTGGTCGTCGTCGCTGGCTTGGGTGTGGCGCCGACGCTGGCCGACGGCTGCCGGCGCAACGGACTCGCCGGTCGCGGTCGTGTCGTGTCGACGCTCGTCGCAAACGGTCGCTCGAGCGGCGGCGCGTTAGAGAGGTGGCTCGACGTCGCGTCTTCGTCGTCGCCTTCCTTGACGCCTTCGAGCGCGGTCGCCGGCCCCAATTCACTCGGTGGCGTGTCGTTGGACGATGACGGCGGCATGTCATCAAAGAGCGTTTCTCGAAAGTCGTCGATCGTGTTGCGCGGCAGCAAATGCTGGTTGAGCGACCGCTGGTACTGCAGATGCTCGAGCGGTGTCATGATCGGGCGCATCGGAGGCGCTCGTGTGAACGCCGTTTGAAACGATGCGCACTCGCTCACCTCGGACGCGCGGCCTTCGTCCGGCGTCGTGACGTCATCGTCCGTGTCATGACGGCGCAACGCCGGCGCGTCCGACGACCGGTCGATCGGCACGGGCGCCGTGACCTCGAGCGCAAACGACGTGACGTATTTATGGACAAGGATCTTCTTGTTGGCGTCCGACGCGTGGTGCCACAGGTCCTTGAGGTACTCGATCGTCTGGTCATAGGACGGTAATGACGTCATGGCTGCGATTTCGCTGAGCTCCAGCTCCATGCACTGGACGCGGACCTTGTACTGCGGCAGCGGCGACGTGTCGTGCGACCGCAGTCGTTGCAGTAGCTCCCGGTGCAGCGACGGCGCGAGTTCGAGACGCACATTGGTCTTGTCCGGTCCGTCGAGCCAGCCGACTTTGAACGGCACGGCCTTGCACTTGAACTTGCTCTCGATGCGCACCGTGTACGCCACGACCTTGGAACACCGGTTTTCGATCGAGACGTCGCAGGACCCGACGTTGACCTCGTGGGGCGGCAGTGTGAACAGCAAGATGTCGGCCGCCGGCGTAATGGCCACAAGGAGGCCGGACCGGTCGGCCTTGACGCGCGACGGCACGACTTGGGATGGCAGCGGGCGCGCACTCGGTGTCTTTGGTGACACATTCTTTTTCGGAACCACCGAGGCGGAGAGCGGCAAGGGCGCCGAGTCGTCGATCGAAGCGAGAAAATGGGCGTGGGACATGGTCGTCTCGGACGGCGGCGGGTCCACGGAGAAGGCCGACGTCTGTGAGAGCACGCTCGCGCCCGACTGGAGGAGCACGTGCGGTGTGTGGCTCGTAAACTCGATCGTGGGCTCAAAGCGCATGACAAAGTTTTTGGACATAATGTCGCGTGGGCCAAGCGCTTTCCATGCGGTCGCCCATGCGTGGTCTTTGGCCGCGCTCTTGTCTTTGCCGCGGAACGCCAGCGACTCACGGCACGCGCCGTCGCCCGACTCGGTCGACGGCGTCCCGCTTTGGATGAGGAGCCGGTCGGTCACATACGCCTCTTGGCTGTTTTGGCGAAGTGCAATCTCGTCGTAGAGCGCTTGCCGTAGCTCAATTTTGATCTGGATCGTCTCGCTGGGGCCGAGCGTGCCCTTGCTGGGCTTGATAAAGTACCGCTCCGGGTTGAGCGTCTTGACGCTAAAGATCGTTGGGCGGCGCGTGTGCAGGTTGCGCATCGTGACGTGGCGAAAGTGCTTGACGCCATGCGTATCGAGGGTGAAGACGACGAGGTCGGACGGCTCAAAGGCCACGCTCGCGTTGCAAGGCGCCTCGATGTCCAAGGCGACGACCTTGGTTCGGAGGCTCATCCTGCCACCGGAGCGGAAAAGAAATGGCCATCGCGATGTGATACGGTGCATTACACCGCTTGGTGCCGAGTTTTGGCCAATGGCCTTGCGCCAAATTGTTTTTTCGCTCAAACGACGACCGCCCATTGGCCACACGCGCTCCGCGTACCATGCCACCTGCCCCAGTCATCCGGATACGAGACGAGGCATTCCCTTGGACTATCGTCTACAATCGAAATAAGCTGGAGCGCGTCGCAAACCGGGAATTGCCCTGGCGAAGAGCCGCGCGGCACCACCTTGCGTTTTGTATGCGTGTTATTTTCACAGGTGAAAAACGTGCGCCACATGACGTGGCAAATACCCGTGGCGCGCGCGACATGCCACGTGACGCTTATGACATGGGCTTCAAGCGTTTGGCCGACTCTGGCCGGCAGGACCGTCCCGACCGAGCTAGCACCAGCGATACAAGCACGGCTAGGCATCGCCTGCGTCGTCACACTTGGCGACACTGCATTGGTGTAGCATTGGTCATGACAACGTACGAACGGCCAGCTTGGAGCCTGTTGAGCCGAGCGAGAGGCGGAGGATGGTGTGGCCACCGACGACTGACGCGTCACACACGACGAGTGGCCAGAGATGCCGTGTCGATGGTGCAACGAAGGTCGTGCGCTTCCATCTCAGATCCGGTCGCGTCTTTCTCGGTCTTGGCACGTTGCACGGCGCAAGAAACACACACACACCACGTATTGTTCACACATTTTTCACGCTGTATTTCCCACCAATGGCGACGTGGCGCGGCCGTGGGTCATAGAATTCAAATGTAATTTGCACCGTGTTATATAATATTTCTAGCTCCGTAAATGTATGCAATAGAATACAAAGTAAAAAAGAGCGATGAAAACAATAAAATGAACCGGCGGGGCCCGGTGTTGACAGTATTTGCAACTGAGCGGCGACCAGCAGCAGCATGGCCGACTACTACGACGTCCTCGGCGTGGCCAAGACCGCGTCCGCGGACGAGATCAAGAAGGCCTACCGCAAGCTCGCCATCAAGTACCACCCAGGTACAGTGCGCGCCCTCGCTGCCGTGACGCTCATGCAGGCTGCTAGACAAGAACCCGGACAACCAAGACGAGGCCGAAAAAAAGTTCAAGGAGATTGGCGAGGTACGTCAACGATAGCTGCTTGGACAGCGTCTCATGCGCATGTGGCTAGGCCTACTCGGTGCTCTCGGACGAAGAGAAGCGCACGACATACGACCGCTTTGGCAAGGCCGGCGTCAACGGCCAGTCCAATGGCGGTGGCATGCACCCGAACTTCAACGCGCAGAACGCCGAAGAGATCTTCCAAGCATTCTTTGGCGGCCAGGACCCGTTCAACATGTTCTTCCAGCAAGGCGGCATGGGCGGCCAGCGCGTCCATGTGTCCAACTTTGGCGCGCCGGGCTTTGCGTTCCACTTTGGCGGTCCCGGCGGCATGCGTGGTCGCCACCCAATGCACCACGCCCGCCAGCGCCGCGAGCATGACGACGCGCCGCCACAACAAGCCGTCGCGTCCGGCATGGGCGGCGGGAACCTCCTCCTCGTCTTCTTGCTGCTCTGGATGATGGGCGTGCCATTGAGCTACCTCTGGGTGCTCTTTATGATCTACAGCTACTTGGGGTCGCAGCTCGGCTGGTCGTAGACCCAAATGTAGTATTTACTGTAGGATAGTGTAGTAGGTCCATGCCATAGTAGAATCGTCTCCGCACTCTCAGCTTCTCGTCACCTCGTCTCGCGCTTCTCATTTCTACTATTTCTCCAGTCCACAGCCAAATGATATTCGTCAAGTGCAAAAGGTCATGTAAATTAGCTTATAATTGGTTCATAGTCAAAGGCTGACTCCTCGGTCGAGTTAGGCGGCGTAGAGCAGGCGAAGGCGCTTCATGAGCTTGATCGGTGACGAGACCGACAAGAGGTTGATGACGGCTGCCGGCATGTAGCCGCCGAGGTCCATGTGCACGATCAGCGTCACCGAGCACGACGTCGGCGTCAACGGACGAACAATGTACCCCGACACGTGCGTGTGCGCGCGTACAAAATGCTTGTCGACCGGCACGCTGTCGTGCTCGACGCTCTTGGTGCCAATGACAATGGACCCGTCGTCGAGGTGCTGCTGACTGGTGACGACGAGAAAATCGCGCGCCGTCGTCGGAAACACCGGCTTGGCCTGCACATACCGGATCGAGGTCGAGTCTTTGAGCGCCTCGATGACGCGGCAGTTGTCGGTCATTTCGTCAAAGATGTGCATTTGCGAGGCGTCGCTGAGCTTGGCCGCGAGGTCGTCGGCGGCGCAGTCGACGGTCGTCGTGGCCTTGATGGCGTTCCAAGCCGACCCGTCGACGACGCCGCGGTCGATGGAGACACCGTCGGTGTCCTTGACGTGGCTCCACGACGTGCTCTTGTCGGCGCCCGAGTCCTTGGCGACGATGTCCGTAATGCTCTTCGCACCGAGCGCGAGATAGTCTTCGGGTGAGTTGTTGCTCGTGTAGCTGCTGGAGCTGCTGGCGCTGCTGTTGCTGAGGCGCATGGTGAGGTTGGTACTGAATTGATTAATGATGGAAGCCCTAACGTGGAGTTTTCACGGTACGGGACACCATGTTAGGACGAGATTGGCAGAGAATTTCGAGAGGTTGGGGAGGTTACACCTCATGGTCACGCCGCTGTCTCAACGGCCGTCAAGCACTAGGTGAGCTGCTAGGATCATCAAGACCACCTACTGCGTGCGGACCGAGATGGCACAGCCATGATACTGTGTGTATACTACCTGGATCGATGCTAATGATTGCTCAATTTGGAAAATATTAGATAGACTAGCTAAAACAAAAAAGGCCTACAACGCAAGTGCTCATTTCAACGACGAGATACTCGTCACACCGTCCGGCTTGAGGGCCCAACCGTGCCACTGGGTGAGCCCTCGGAGCCCCGTGATGGCTTTGCGTCCAGTCCACTGGACCGTCGGCGGCGTCACGTAGGCGTAGATGTGCTCATGATTGGCGAGCGCCTTGTTCTCCTTGATGGCCTTGTAGATCTTGTGCATGGACGCGGCGGGATGATCGGACGCGACGGTAATCTGAAGGTAGAAGATACGCTTCTCGTGAACAGCGATCGCGTCAATGCCCGGGAACTGGGCGAATTCGGGAAGCCAGTACGTGGAATCAGCCAGCTTCTCCTCGAGGTACTTGAGGCAGTCCTTCTCGGATGCGCCGCGCGTCACGACCTTCCATGCCGGGGTCACTTGCACGGTCAAGAGCTCACCAACCTCCCGCGGCGAGGGCGGCTTGGAAGCATTCGGGACGCCGTAGCATTCGAGTTCGAGCTGCAGCACATGTTTGGTCGCTAGCTTGTGGATAAGCGCCTCGAAAAACCACCCGTAGAGAGCCCCGTTGTTGTAGTGCTCGGCCCACAAGAGCGTGGTCGCAAGTCCGCCGTCGCGACCAAATGCCGCTGGAACGCACTCGCGTCGATCTTGTACTTGCAGTGGTCCGTGCCCACGTAGTGTGCGTAGTTGTCAACGTCCGCAATGTACGTACGCCGAATCGAGTCGACGCGGCTGTTCGTGTTGCCTTCGGAATCGCTCTTGAGCGCGCTCAGTGTCTGCTCTGTGAGTCGCCACGTGGCAGGTTGCGTAGAAAGGTTGCTCGCCCGGGTAAACTCGCGAATGCTGCCGCCGGAAACGGAGTAGCGCTTCTCAAATGTATTTTGGATGCCCGCGTGCGACCCGAGCGCGGCCCGGAGAGAGGCTTCCGACCACGCGGGAGCAACGAGTGCCACGCGAGCGTCTGCAGACTTCAAGAAGAATTGCCCCGAGGTTGACACGAGGTCAAACATAGCCATCGGGTTGTCGGCGTCCGCTTGGTGGTAGCCGTCACCAACGACCAAGCCCTTGCGACCCATGTTTTTGTTCTCGGTCTTGAATTTGCTGATGAGTTCGTCGAGCTCGTGGCGCGACACGGAAGGGTACGTCGTCACTTGGCCGCCGCGAAACCAGAGCACGACACCCTGCTTGCCCTGCTCCACGAGCGAGCGCGAGAAGAGAACGTCACGCTCAAGGTACAGCGCGAGGTAAGGGCAAAAAAGAGCGAGTATCACCGATTTCCCGACGCCGGGAGACCCCATGAGCACGGTGGGCACCGCAAGTGGAGGCGTCGCTTCATCCTCTTCATCGACGAGCAATGACCCCGACGTGGCAGACGACGTGCTTTCCACGCAAAGATCGAACTTGTTCGCCGCGCGGCACAACGCATCGAGGGCCGGTCGGCCGTCATTACCGATGTCCTTGGCAGCCGTGTGATTGATGCGCATGAGGTCGAAGATCATCTTCATCTCCTTGCGAAGGTAGACCGTTCTCGGGCAGCCTCCGTAGTCTTTGTAGAGGTCGTGGAGCTCGGGTAAATCTAGCTTCTTGCCGACTTTGATGAACTTGAGGTCCGGCACGTCGCCAGTCGTGATGACATGGCTTTTCTGAGATTTGGATCTCTTGGTCGGCGGCTCTATGTGATTCTTTGAAACGAAGCCATGTGAGGTATGAGCCAATACCCTGTGCTTCATTGCGCTTCGTGAGCTCAAACGCACTCACGTCGCCGTCATCTTGGTATCGTGCGTGGACAAAAATCGAGGATTTCGCGCACAGACATTTCGCCCACGGTCTCGTTGGCAAAGAAGCACAAACGGCAAGTCGCGTCCGGTGGCTGCGTCCACGACGAGCAGTCGAGCGGCAGCTCCGAGACGTCGAGGTTTGCGTGGCGGTCGTTGTTGAGAAAGCGGGCCACGAGCTCCTTCAAGGTGGCCTTGAATGCATCGAGATCGGGCGCCATCGGGAGGCCATTGAACGGACGTAGCGCATATGCGGCCAGCGTCACTGCGTGCAAGCTCTCGTCCGAGACGGACACGCGAAGTTGTTTGAGGTCCGTTACCACGATGAGTCGACCGCCCAGCGTTTCCGACCAGTTGCACTCGACAACGATCCCGTAGCGCCACGTGTGGCGCGGCGCAGGAGCCACGCAGACGTACGCGTGGAAGTATGTCCCTACGCCCGACTCGGCCTCGCCCTTGTCGACGCAACTCTGTCGGTACGTCATTGCCCGGAGATGCGTTAGCCGTATCGTGGTGAGGTCGTTGGGCCAGCAGCGCGCCGACTCGATGGTGCGGCCTGTCCGCAGTGGCTCCATCGTCCACTGTTCTCCATTGCGTGTGGTCTTGAGCTTGACGTAGACGCGGTGTTGCGTGCCAAAAGTATAGGGCGACACCAGCGCGTAGAAGGTCTCGCGGGCCATGGCGGAAGAAGCTGTGGAAGATCGCAATGATGCAAATGCTCGGGATGGTTTCACTTTTGTAGCCCGGGGCAAGGGATACGGATAAAGAGCTTTCGTACGGATAACGATGGTGTGGCCCGGTGTACTGGCTCTGGGAGTACCGGTACAGTAGACATGTTTGGCCCCTCCCCACCTTATGGTCCGTCTTCCATCTTCTACAGTTCGGTGCACGATTGCCCAAGAGGGCGTCGTTACTCACTTAGCCTCGAAG